AATAAAAATTCTAATAATCTTATATAATTAGCATATGAATAATATTAAATTAATTGTTACAAACTCTAATTAACATATGTAAATACATACGACATGCATGATTTAAAATTAATAAAAATTCTAATAATCATATATAATTAGCATATGAATAATATTAAATTAATTGTTACAAACTCTAATTAACATATGTAAATACATACGACATGCATGATTTAAAATTAATAAAAATTCTAATAATCATATATAATTAGCATATGAATGATATTAAATTGATTGTTAAAAACTCTAATTAACATATGTAAATACATACGACATGCATGATTTAAAATTAATAAAAATTCTAATAATCATATATAATTAGCATATGAATGATATTAAATTAATTGTTAAAAACTCTAATTAACATATGTAAATGCCACATGCATGATTTAAAACTTTTAAAAGTTGTTAAAACCTCTAATAATCGTGCGTAATTCACATATGCCAAACAACAATTGATCGGCGGTGACGGTTGACCGCACGTACTTTCTCCTCACTATTGTTCCCTCCTTGTGATCGCTACGTGAGTAAGGGGTGTCTTCATTTGATAGGAGGATGCTAGGGTCAATCGTCACCGTGAAAGGAGGTTGCCCATCCAACTGATCGTAATCCTCGTCAGTCTTGTTCTCAACCCCGACGATTTTTCTTTTGCCTGGGAGAACCACGTGACGCTTAGGCTCGTCAGGCCCTCTGCCCTTCTTTCCTTTGCTAGACATGTCCTTCACGTAAAAGACTTGCGTTATATCATTGGCAAGGACAAAAGGTTCATCCGAGTATCCAACCTTGTTAAGGTCAACCGTTGTCATCCCACTGTCATCAATCATTACGCCTCCACCAGTCAACCTAACCCATTGGCACCGGAACAGAGGGACCTTGAGAGGACCGTAGTCAAGTTCCCATATGTCCTCGATGGCACCGTAATATGTGCCAGTTGTTCCATCGTGTCCCATGGCATCGATACGAACAACGCTGTTTTGGTTCGTGCTCTTCATGTCTTGGGCTCTCGTGTAGAATGTGTACCCATTGATCTCATATCCCTGGAATGTCGCGATCGACCCAGACGGTCCCCTCGCTAGGAAGGCAAGTTGTTGGTTGATCGTCTCGTTACCCATGAGATGTTGTCGTAGCCACACGGGGAAAGTATCAATGTGATGCCGTGTAATCCATGCATCGAACTTACCGATGTTTCTGGCACGAACTAGAGCCAAGTGCTCATCGATGTAAGGAGATACCAATGAAGATTGTTGCAGAACCGTGAAATGGGCTTTACGGAATAAATTATTGTCTACCATCATTATTGCTTTCCTTCCGAGAGTTCCCTTTCCCCGTAGTCTCCCTTCATGGCATGATTCAGGTACCCCGATTGGGCGAAGGTATTCAATAAATTCTACGCAAAATTCGATGACCTCCTCTATTCCATACCCCTTGGCGATGCTTGCCTCTGGACGAGCACGGTTACGAACATACTTCTTCAGAACGCCCATGTACCTCTCGAAAGGAAACATGTTACGTAGGTACACAGGCCCGAGAATACTGATCTCTTTGACAAGGTGACAAAGCAGATGCGTCATTATATTGAAAAATGAAGGTGGAAATATCAACTCAAAACTGACAAGACATTGCACCACATCATTCTGAAGGGCTTCTAATCTATCCGAATCGATGACCTTGCGTTCATGAATGCACATAGCTTTGTTATTGTTGCCCAGACATTGTTTGGAAGGATACCCCTTATTACAACTGGTAGCAGTTATGTCATCAACACGTGACAGTCATGAGACTTTAGGTTTGTGAATTTCTTCTCCTTCGTGCTTATTATTCGCTTGATATTCGTGGATTATCCAGACAGTACATTTATGCTCTCCAAGCATTCAAACATACTTTCCTTCTCTGCCTTGCTAAGAGTGTAGCTGGCTGGACTCAAGTAATGGCTTCCTTTCTCCTTTGGTTCCAGGTGAAGGTTGCCGCGTTGTTCCATATGCTTCAGATCATTACGTGCTTCCAGTGTATCTTTCGACTTTCCGTACACACCTAGGAAGCCAAGAAGGTTTACGCAAAGGTTCTTAGTGAGGTGCATCACATCGATTGCGTGGCGGATGTCCAAGAATTCTCAATAGGGCAACTCCCAAAATATAAAGTTCTTTTTCCACATTGCCGCTTGACCATCTTCACTCTCTATAGGCTGGCTTCCAGACCCCTTTCCGAACACTACTTTAAGATCTTTAACCATAGCAAACACTGTTTTCCCGCTGCGATGTTTAGGCTTCGTACGGTGGTCCGCCTTACGTTCAAAGTGCTTGCCTTTCTTCCGTACCGGGTGGTTTGCTACAAGGAATCGACGATGACCCATGTATACAACCTTCCTACAGTGCTTAAGATACGTACTTTCTGTTTCATCCATACAGTGAGCGCAAGCCTTGTACCCCTTGTTGGACTGTCCGGATAGGTTGCTAAGTGCAGGCCAATCGTTGATGGTTACGAACAGCAGCGCTCGTAGATTAAACTCCTCCTATTTGTCCTCGTCCCACACGGGGACACCTTCCTTCTTCCACAACAGTTTAAGATCTTCGACCAGTGGTCTTAGGTACACATCGATGTCATTACCAGGTTGCTTGGGGCCTTGAATAATAATCGGCATCATTATGTACTTCCTCTTCATGCATAGCCAGGGGGGAGGTTGTAGATACACATCGTAATGGGCCAAGTGCTATGGCCGCTGCTCATCTCTCCAAAAGGATTCATGCCATCCGTACTCAAACCAAACCGTATGTTTCGTGCGTCCTTTCCAAATTCTTTAAATTTTCTATCGATGTTTCGCCACTGCGAACCATCGGCGGGGTGTCTCAGCATCCCGTCCTGTTGACGCTCTTCAGCGTGCCATCGCATCATTCTAGCATTCCCCTTGTTCCTGAACAAACGCCTTAGCCGTGGTCTTATAAGGAAATACCACATCACCTTAGCAGGAATTCTCTTCTTTGTTAGCTGCCCGTCAACTTCTCCTGGATCGTCTCGTCTAATCTTGTATCGTAGTGCTTTGCAAATAGGGCATGCTTCTAGGTTCTCGTACTCCTCACCGCGATATAGGATACAATCATTCGGACATGCGTGAATCTTCTGAACTTCCAGTCCTAGAGGGCAGACTATCTTCTTAGCCTCGTACGTTGTCTCGGGCAATTTGTTTCCCTCCGAAACAATGTTCTTGATGAGTTTCAATAAATCGCCAAATGCCTTGTCACTAACACCATTTTTTGCCTTCCATTACAAGAACTCCAGAGTTGTATCCAACTTTTTGTGCCCCTGCTCGCAACCTGGGTACAACGACGTTCTGTGGTCCTCTAACATCTTGTCCAATTTATGGCCCCCTTTTCACTTTCGCAGTCCTCCTTGGCGTCCTGCAACATCTGACCAAGATCATCCGCAACGTCGTTACCATCAGCATCCCTTTCCTCCTCGCCCGTTTGATTTCCTTCAAATCCAACGTACTGAGCAAAGTCCGGAATATTGTCATCTTCCACTTCATCTTCTTCCATTTCAACACCTGGCTCTCCGTGGGATGTCCAACAATTATAGCTTGGCATGAACCCCGACTCAAACAAGTGGAAATGAATTGTCCTGGATGCAGAATACTCCTTCTGATTCTTACACTTGTTGCATGGACAACAAATAAAACCCTTATGCCTGTTAGCTTTGGTCACTCTCAAAAAATAATGCACGCCGTCAATAAACTCTTTGGACCGCCGGTCAGCGTACATCCATTGCCGATCCATCTACATGACATGAAAAAAAATCGTACACAAATAATTATTCTTACAATAATGACAATCATATAATAATTATAAAATAATTACGAACTCTTTCAACAGTTATACAATAATGACATATCTTTATTCATTTAAAAATCATAAAATATTACACCAAATAATTCTTATTTACTATTTCTAATGTTTTAAACTAATATTAATGTGTTTTACTTCTTTTAATTTTCATTTTAGTTTGTTTTCTATTATTTAAGATTAACTTTCACTATATTTTCCTTCTCAACTATTTTATAAAACCTTCTTTAGCAAATCAACTAAATTTCTATATATTCTTTCTTTCCCACACAAATTTTCTCTCTTATCAACTTACAACTAAATTTTGGAGACAAAAAAGTGTGTAAAACATAGCTCCAAATGTAATATGACAAAAAAAAATATTGGAGGATGAACTTGCAAACCTTTTAGGCACCTCCGATTTGTATGTAATCATCAAAATTAATTCACTAGAAATTTTGGCATGACCTTCTATCTTTTTTGAAGAAATTTTGAAGCTTGCTCGGGCAGCTGGAGGAGGAAGAAGACATATATATATATAGGGGTGGGACTTTAGTCCCGGTTGGTGTTACCAACCGGGACTAAAGATCCCGGGGGGGCCTGACAGGCCCTGACAGCATTTGAACCGGGTAACGGGCATATTTGATCTTTAGTCCCGGTAGCCCCGGTTTTTATTGCATCTAGGACTATTGTGGAATTCGGCCGACCGACGAAAGATATTTCTCCACCAGTGAAAGTGTGAGTTGTACGTATCATCATGGCAATATACGATACATTCGATACGCGGATATGTGCAAAAGTTTCATTCGAAATAGATATATCCATTTGTTCCATATGCGCGTCATTAGAAAAAACTCATTTGGAAACAAGTGGAAATTTGTGGAGTTACGCACATGAGAAAAAAAAAACATACACACACAGAGCAATGGGAAAAATGGGAATTAAATCATGGGGCCCACACTGGCCAGTGTCACGCGAGAAAATGGATATTTTGCCATCCTCAAAACATGGTTTCGTTGGAATGCCATCTAAAAAACGCAATTTGTTAAAATGCCAATATGGACCGCGCGACCACAGCCACTTTGCTATTTTCTCCATTTTCTCTCTTTTCTCCATTTTCAATTTCATTTTCGCTGGAGTAGAGCTTGATGAGACGATTTTGCCCCTGCTTGCCGGCTAAAAGGGGATCGAGATCTCGCGAGCTACCGGCCATGGCTCGACGCGCCGCAGCCGCCGACGGAGAGTCCCGTCGCCGCCTTGCCGCTCCTCATCCTCCTCGTCTTTCTCCTCTCAACTTCACTCGGTATGGTCGCCACACCGGTGCGAGAAACTCGATGTTGGTTTCTTCGCATTCCAGGCTTGTTCTGACGCGCTCGCGTACCGTTGTGTTTGCAGGGGCGTGCAGTTCGGCGAGCAAGAGGGGCGGCGACGGGCGACAGCGGCGGTGCGGTAGCGGATGAGGCGTACTACTCCAGCTGGGAATCGGCAGTGGCGGTGGTGGTGGCGGGGCGACGAAGGCTAGTCCGGCCAGGGTCGTCGCCGCCGACATGCCGGAGCCGGTGCGGTGGCTGCCACCCAAGCTTGTTCTTCCCGGCTGCGTCGCCATTGCTGCACGGACAAGGTTTAGCTGCTACCTAGCTGGAGCAAGAGCCATCGACAATACTGCAGCCAAGAAGGACATTGCTGAGAAGATCAATCACGCAGGCTTCGGCTTCGATGGGTTGGTGTATGTAACGTTGAGTTCTTGGAGATTGAACAAGGGCAGAGAGATGTTAATGCTGCCATTTTGTTTTTCCTCCTCCTCTCTTTCTATTTATTTTTTTTCTGTTGTTTGTTCTTCCCTTGCATTTTTTTTTTGGGTGATTTCCCTGCTAATTTGTTCCATCTTTGCCATGAACTTTGTATTTACTCGTAACGCACATCATCGTCTTGCTCTGTTCAATTCTTGCTATTTAAACATCTTTTAGTAGATGAACAATGAAAAACTTCTCCTACTTCTATCTTCAGCTCTGATGCGTGTTAGTGTTCTTGTGGCTAGTGCACCCGTGCATGCACATTTCAGTACTATAGTATTTCACACAACAATGGACCGGCGATGCAGGTGACGGTGGTGGCGGCACTTACCGACGGGCAGAGAAGCCAGCAACTAGCTGAAATGGCTCAACCAGCTCGATGCACAACGGTTTTCAACATCCAACCGAAGGGGCAATATCATCTCATCAAGGCACATTTTAGCGAAAATGAAATCGAAAATGGAGAAAATGGCAAAGTAGATGTGGTCACGTGGTCCATATTGGCATTTTAACGAATCGTGTTTTTGGATGGCATTTTAGCGAAACCGCGTTTCGAGAATGACCAAATGTCCATTTTCTCGTGTCGCGCTGTTAACGACCAAATTTGGTAATCTAAGTATCGGAGATGAAGAAGGAATCGAAACGGAGTTCGAGATAGAGATCGTCCCGGAAACAGAGTAAAGTCAGCTGAAATCCGAATCGGCTACGATCAGGATCGGCAGAGTCCGAGTTGGATAGGGTTAGCCAATTGAGTTGAATCTGACAATGTAGCACGATATACGTTGTCGGGTTAGGTTAACGAGCTTCATGAGGATTGTCGTGCATGGATAGAGTCCTAAGAAGGCAATTGTATCTATTAATTAGGATATTTTATGTAATTTCCTTAGAGATATGTTTGGGCAAAAGTCTGCCACAAAGACTTATGGTATTTTAGAGTTTGTTAGAGATAAGAATCGTGTCCGATATAGACATATTTTGTAATCTCGGGTATAAATAGACCCCGAGCCCCATGTAATCAAACTAACACACGCATCGCCACCCTTTTAACTTTTGTTTTGTTTCGACGAGTTCTTACTTTCGGGTTGAGCTGCATCGGTTTTGATCTTCAACAAGAGGTAAAACTTGTTATGGTGGCTTGCGTTATTAGGATTAGTGCTTCCATCTTTATGATACTCTAATCTTATTTATGTAATTTGTCGAGTTATCATATATCTTACATAATCTCCGGCAATATCGCTATCTAACCGTCAATCGGCTAACGTCTGGTACGAGAAGTCAGCCGATTAGGTTAAATACTGATGTTGACTTAGATTATATAGGATATCTACTACTCTATGAAATATCCAACGGCTTGATTGTCTAGAAATTGTCCTTCTTTTTATACTTATAGCTGCATCAGTTAGGTTTGATCTTATAAGTCGTGATTAGAATCTCAATCTGCTTTTTGGTTGCCAATTAGGGTAGTATCGGGGTTTCAGCCGATTTTACCTGATTTAGCTTTATATTTCATTATGTTAGGATATCATTACAATAAAATATGTTAGCTTCTGTGTAATGTATTTTACTTGCTTTAATATCGAGTAGTATCGGAGTATTAGCCGATACGTGCTAGATCTATCTGATCGGTTATGCTATGAACAGATATATAGTCTTGTTGTTAATATATATTTTGATCTAAGTGATTTATACTGTCTCGGCATGGCGACCGATCTATCCCAATCACTTGATTTAAGTATATATCGACATAAGGACTATATATTATTAATATCTACAGCCGATCGAGTAGATTTAGTTCTTCCGTACTTATTAACATTTGCCGATCGATTCACATATGACATCGGCTCAGAGATAAGTGATATGTCATCGGCAATTAGTCGATCGGCTATCGTTTATGAATTTAACCGCGGTTTCTTTATCTTTGTTTCTTGTTGATTGCAGGATCAAATCAACTGGCACACTCATACACCTAAAGGCAAGCTTTTAGACCTGCATTGGAGTTAAGCAGATCTCCCAGGCCTTGTGTTTTTACATCAACACGCGCTGGGATGAGACTCCTCTGACTTTGTGTAGTACAACTGCAAACTGCACAAAGGTTGTGTTTAAATCTACGGGTGAAAAGTTTTGGTGCATCACATCGGATATACGGGCACACATTTGAAGTATTAGACGTAGACTAATAACAAAACAAATTATAGACTCCGTCTGTAAACTGCGAGACGAATTTATTAAGCCTAATTAATCCGTCATTAGCAAATATTTACTGTAGCACGATATTGTTAAATCATGAAGCAATTGGGCTTAAAAGATTTGTCTCGTAATTTACACGTAATCTATGTAAGTAGTTTTTTTTATATTTAATACTCCACGTATGTATAGATCTAAACATTCGATGGGCAAAGTCACCGGATATCCGTGGCGGTGCGTGGAACAGTTGGGCCCTTCCCAATTTCCATTCACCCTTTCGCCGCGGCGGCAGCGGCCGGCAGCCGAGCCGCGATCGAAAGCACCACCACGATGATGGCCGCAGCGAGAACGGCGTTCGTCTCCGGCGACCTACTTCCACTCAACGTCTCCTCCTCGGCGTCAATCCCCACCCTGGCAAAAACCCAAGGTATCACCAAATCCATCTCGTTCGGTTCTGGGCGCCGTCGCCGGCCGCGAGATCCACAGTCCATACCTACCACCAGGCAAGCCTCCTCTGCTATCTAGAGATATTTTCCGCCATATTGAAAAACATCACCCGAAAAATCCAACATATGTACTATTGCTCAGATTTAGTGATAATATTGATATGCAGTTCAGATAGCTAGTACATATTTGCAGTTTAAAGATAATATTATTAGTACATTATTGTTCCAGTGCATTGTGAAACATACTTCTCACAAGAAGAACTATGATAGATTACCAAAGTAGTTACAAAATATGATGTGCATAGATTGCGATGGATTTTCTTGTGCTCAGTATCCCACCTATTTCATCTTGGACCAGATAGAATCGATGCAGAGGGTGGAGCTGAATATGTGGATGGGTTGTCTTGAGCAGATATCACTGAATTTGCGTTGGCAAAGCTGTAATCTAGGCAATTTTCCACGCTCACTGCGCCTTCCAATACCTTGACAACCATCGACATCGAAGGCCTTCTGCTGCTCTCATTTTGCAAGCACCACATTGCGAGCTTCAACATTTTAATCACTTCCTCCTGGTGGTGTGAGACCATATCAGTACTTTTCTTATCAATTATATCGATCAATACATTGTCTTTAGCCTTCTCTCGCAATAAATTGATGAGCTGAACGCTTTCCTCTGGCTGCGAAATATCAATATTTTTCCTTCCGCATATTATTTCCAGGAGAACAACTCCAAAGCTGTAGACGTCAACTTTTTCAGTGATCTGTGATGTTAGCCATTCAGGTGCCAAATATCCAGGCGTGCCTCTCATCACAGTCACTACTTTACTTTGATCCCTGTCTATTAGCTTGGAAAGTCCAAAATCAGCCAGTTTGGCATTGAATTTCTCGTCTAAGAGAATGTTTTGTGGTTTGATATCCAAATGAGCAATTTTTCGCCTGCATTCCTCATGAAGATAACATAAACCCTTGGCAATATCCATAATGATCCTACACCTTGTGCACCAATCAAGAGGATCATTGTTGTAGCGGTAATATATCCACCTATCAAGTGACCCTCTTGGCATATATTCATATACAAGAAGCCGATTTGACTTCTCTGCACAAAATCCTATCAGCCTGACAAGATTGATGTGCTCAATGCTGCCAATAGTCTCAACCTCTGCCAAGAATTCTTTCTTTCCTTGTTTAGCACTTTCTAGTCGTTTAACTGCAACTCTCTCCTCACCTATTTCTCCTTCAAAGACTGATCCAAATCCACCTTCACCGAGCTTTTTACTGAAATCTTTGGTGCATTCTCTCAACTTTTCATATGAAAACCTCACTGGCATTCCAGGCAATGGCTCAAAATCAATTTCTTCATCTATCTCTTGATACTTCCTCCTTTGCACATAAAGGGTGATAACTGTGACAGCCAGTACAAGGATAAGAATTGCTGAAATTGTTGCACCTAAAATTGCCTTTGTTTTGTTTGCTGTGGAAGCAGAAGCAGAAGGACTAAGCTGCACCTTGAGGTAAGCAGAGGAGTTGTAATGAAGGGCTTCAGGTTGTATCGTTTGCAACGAGAAGACCTCCGATACCGAGAAGCATGTGCCATCAGAATCATTCTGGCCATACCTGAACATAACGGCCCTGCAGGAGCAATTCTTCAAGCAGGATTGCTTACAGTCATCTCTGTTTGTTGCATTCAGGATGGTGTGGCTGACATCGAAGTATGAAACATCAGTAAGGGCCAAGAGCTGATGGCTTCGCATTTCTTGACAAGAGATTGGTGTCAGTGGTGAGCAACCAAGATTTGCCTTTCGCTCGTCGACCGGCTTGAAGTAGCTTAAACTAGAATTACTCTGAAGGGGACAGGTACATTGCCCACCTGTGCATATCCCGTATTTTCCGCACGCCATTGGGAAAGCACAATCATCAGGGAATACCTTGATTACATCAGACACGACTGTCCACTTTGCTCCTGTATTAGACCATTCATACAGCCTCAAGTGCCCATCAAACTCTAACCTCATATACTGGGTGGAGCTGGCTTGTGGCAGTGAGATATTGCTTGGCTGAGTGGACTGCACAAATATGCTAAGGCTGCCATTGGTGAAGGTAACCTTGGTTGGATCTTTTCCACTCTTGTTTGTGTTCACTGAATGAGAATAGTAGAGCTGTGGTGGTGTGGATTCAACATAAGCAAACAATCCATCTGGTTGAACAGCCATATACACCTGATTCTCAGTCGAATTTGTTGTAGTGCTGTTTGCTCTGAGCTTCATGCCTTCCATCAGTGACTGCCCAGGAAGGAGTGTGTCAGTCGGATGATCAAAAGACTGCCACACCGTCACATTCCTCTGATCAAACAGCACAAGATTGCCGGTGTCAGTGATCTCCATGCCAGCCACAGACCGGCTCGAGCTGCCGCTTGACCAGACGAGGCTACCATCAGCATCACTGAGGACCAGGTTGCCATTGTAAGTGAGCTCGAGGGTGGCATTCTCCCGGACGGGGCGAGCCCGGTTGGCCGACCAGACCACCTGCGGGATCCCGGTGGTCGTCATCGTGATCCCGGCGCCGCTGTTGGTGTAGACGATGTAGACGGCGAAGAGGAACGCGTCGCAGGGGGGAGAGCAGAAGAAGCCCGCGGCGTAGGAGGGGCCGTAGAAGGTCTTCGGTGAACGGAGGACGATGGCACGCACGGCCGACCCGTCGGAGTAGCCGACGCTGTGTTGGAGCGCCGCGGCATTGTTCACCCACCGCGTCGAGAGGTTGGCAGTGGGATAGTCGTACCGCTCCGCAGAGACCGGCGGTGCTATGGTTGCGAGTGCGATGATGACGATGACGATGATGAAGAAGAAGAAGTTGGCCGGAAGCATGGTGCTTGGATGTGAACTGAGAATGCGATGAAGAACCAATTAAGCAAGAAACTTGGGGCATTTCTGCCAGAGATGAGAGAAGATGTTGTCAGTTCTCACCTGATGTCAGCATGGCAATGGTGGAGCTGATGCGGTGACCGGCAAAATGGTCTCACCATCGCCAAGGTCACCGGACTCTGGAGTCTGCAGTGGTCAGCTACTTGTCTTCTTGATCTCTCAGTAAGTTCACACTTCACACCAAGCTGGGCTAGATTATTATGGTTTTGGTTTATCTGTGAAGACAGATTGACTTGACCATTTCTCTTTGGGGGGGGAGGGGGGGGGGTCAATAATTAGCCGTGCCGACAAATGGTAGTCGTTTCCATGTACCAAATTGCTGATATCATCAACATTAACAATTCAATTCAGGCGTTGTCCCTTTCAGTAAAAACAATTGAGGCATTGTCCTTGCATATAAAGAAGGCAATTCAAGAGCAGGTATTGGTACGGTAGTAAGGCTGGTAAGGAAACACGGGAACTGACGAACTGTATTGTTTAATTTCCAATTCACGCGTTCCAGATCTTAAATTGGTTGTAAGGATCAGTTCATATGTAGATTTTTCCAGTTGGTATGATCACAGTATCACACCAATATGATTGTGGGATCTTGGTCAAAGTTTCCATTCGATCCTGACTGCTTGTACAGACTCTAGTGGTTTATATATTAAAAATAACTACATGTACATGTCCATTTATTACAAAATTTCACTCTTTCATCTGTCCATGTAAGGGGTTTTTTTTCATAGGTAAAGAATAAAATTTCTACTGCATGTTTTTATAATTAAAAGGGGTTTCAGAAGTATAACTTTACAATAAATGGAAGGTGTTGATGATACCATAACTTGGAGATGGACGAGCAATGGGAAATATAGTGCGAGATCAGCCTATATAGCACAATTCAACGGAAGGATAAGCTCAGCTGCAGCAAAACTAATCTGGAAGCAATGGGCTCCCTCCAAATGCAAACACTTTGCCTGGCTGTTACTACAAAATAGGATTTGGACAACGGATCGGCTGCAGATCAGACAATGGCCAAACAACTATTTCTGTTAACTATGATACAGGAACCTAGAAACAACTCAACATCTCTTCAAGGATTGTCCTTTTGTGCGGCAGGTTTGGGAGAGGGTCCTAGGGAGGCTGAACTGCAATGAAATTGACCTGACACATGATGAAAATGAATCGCTGTTGAACTGGTGGATTAGGAGAACATCTCAAGGTGGGAAGGAAAAAGCTAAGGCAAAAAAATCAATCCACATGTTGGTAGCATGGGAAATATGGTGTGATCGGAACATAAGAGTATTTCAAAATCAAGAAAAAACCCTGCAGCAGCTACTAGACAAGATTCATGATGAAGTCAAGCTATGGAGAATATGTGGAGCAACAAACATTGCGAGATTATCGGCCTAAGACCTTTTGATTGATTAGTGTTTTTCTTGTTTCTTTTTATTTCTTCTTTTATTTTTCTTTTCTTTTATTTTTCTTTTTCCTTTTCTCCTTCACCGTTTGGTGATCATGTAAATAGTTTCTCCCCTACTTAATATAACACCAACAATGCTGGCTCGGTTTTCAAAAAAAAATAACTTTACAATACAGAAGTATTCATACATTTTAGATTTTCTTTTTTTTTGGAATACGCAAGGAGCACATTTTTTTCCATTATTTACAATGTGAAATGAAAAACAAGCACGGGACTGGTACTGGAGGCTAGGGATCTAATGGGGATATCTCGCGCTAGATTTGGCTACCACGACCTCGCAGAGGTAAAACTGAAGGGACCCCTACATTTGCCGACTTCCAAAGCACGGCTTCTTCCGCCATCGCTTTCGCCAATTCGATCCAAGACTTGCTCTGTTGATTGAAGATCCGGTTGTTTCGCTCCTTCCAAATCGACCAGGCCACCAGCGTTGCAATAGTGTCAAATTCCCGGCGATGCTGCTCTCTCAACTTCATCCGGCTTTCACAGAGCCAGAGGTGGGTAGACAGTCCGGATTGCCTATCGCTCTTAATGTCCAACACCAAAGCTGCCTCGACTCAGGTCAGCCTACCAGAATGTGGTCGATGCTCTCCTCCTGTTGATCGCAAAGAACACAACGGTCTGGGTGAGGCAACCCCCGGCTCCGTAGATGATCAGCGGTCCAACATCTGTTCATTGCTACCAACCACAGGAAGAAGCGGCATCGAGGTGGAGCAAACGATTTCCAGATCGGGGTCAAGAGGAAGGAGATCCGACCAAAGAACAGAGCCTTATAAGAAGATATTGAGCTGTACTGACACGAGCTTTCCCATTTCCAGCTGAAAGAATCAGGAGTGGTAGGGTTACAGGTCACCGATTGGACTAGCGACCAAAGCTTCAGATTCTCCAGGATGGCTTGAATCCCAAGTGCCCCAGCGATGTCCCCGATCCATCAACGATCCGTTAGTGCCTCGGCCACCGTCCGGCGCTGGTGCACGTGAGGCGAAACACGATCGTAGATGTTAGGGGCAATGGATCGGATGCAGCCCTCTTGCAGCCAACTATCCTCCCAGAAGAGGATCGTTTGTCCATCTCCCAGCTGACAGACTGTGGATGCAGCCACGAAGCTCTTCTCCTTTTGCGACCCCGGGATGTCTAGGCCTTGCCATGGTTTACTTAGTGAAGTCCGTTGTAGCCAAGTCCATCTGGAGCGAAGTGCAATACCCATCAACTCCAGATTTGGCAAGTCTAAACCGCCATAGTTCTTAGGAGCACAGACCCTCGACCAAGCGACCCGGCAGCAACCTCCATTGGCTTGCGCCTTGCCTGCCAGAGAATCCCGCGTCGGATCTTGTCGATTCCTTTGATCACCCACTTGGGTGCATCGATAGTAATCAGCAGGTAGATTGGGATTGCACTGAGTACAAACTGAACCATTGTTACATGACCTATCAACGACATTTGGTTGGATTTCCAAGCTGGAAGCCGCCGGGCTATGCTGTCAACGAATGGCTGCAAGTCTTCTTTCTTCAACCTGAAGATGGAAAGGGGTAGACCTAAGTACTTGCAGGGGAAGGATGCAACATGGCAGGGCAATTCCGGCTGTATCCCAGCAAGCAACTCCTCTGAGCACTGAATCGGCAGGGTTGAACATTTTCCAAAATTTGTCCGGAGCCCAGAGGCCTCACCGAAGACGTAGATTTTCTTTCAAAAGAATCATCTGAAAGAATTATGCAGGATCTTACATTTGTAAATGAATCCTGCAATTTGTGATATCCTGCCTGGAAGAATTATGTGCCCTATTCAGGAGTCAGGACACAAAATATGTAGGTATTTTAGCCTAACAAATATGTAGGTAATGTCTCGATGAAAGCACTTAACATTTTCTTTGTCTGTATGTGTTTGGATGGTTGCTTTTTCTTAACCAAATTGCAACAGTAACATAAAATATGAAGGTTAACCCACTAAAGGACATAATTTGTTGCACCAACAATGATTATTTCTCATACTTTGATGACCGGCGTGGTTTACAAAACCATTTGAAGGTTGAAATGTTAGTTCCTGGCGAATTAACGAGATTAAAAAATGCGACTGTATAATTTGTAAACCAAAATCTGAATCCTAGCGGACAGTTCAAGCAAACTAAAAATGGATTTCAAACGGCTTATGGAGAAAACCGATCAGTTTGAGCCAAAAACCAACCTGTGTAAAACCATAGAATAAATGTAAGAACATTTAGAAAATTGAATGGAATTTAGGAAAATCTGGAAAAATGAGAAAGACTAGCAAGATCATTGCTATAATTTGGACAAACTTATGTTGTCTACAACGTTAGAGCATCTCGAGTGTATGAATAAATCAAACCGTCGCGCCACAAAACGAACCGAACACATTGGGGAGAGTCGAACTGTATATGTCAGAAGACTCGAACCAAGCCGAATAAAAAAAATGCACCATTGCATGGTGAGCACATACATACTGATGCGTGGAAAGAAAAATAATACTGCCTCTATTTCTAAATATTGGTTACCGTTGACTTTTTAGCACATGTTTAACCGTTCGTCTTATTCAATAACTTTTGTGAAATATGTAAAAAAAAAACTTTTGTGAAATATGTAAAACTATATGTATACATATAGGTATATTTAACAATGAATCAAATGATAGAAAAAAATTAATAATTACTTAAATTTTTTTAATAAGACGAACGGTCAAACATATTAAAAAAATCAAACGCGTCAAATATTTCAAAACGGAGGAAGTAATTTAGTTGGCTTTCTCTTTGCTCAGAATGAGTGGTGGGAGCCGCAAACCGGTGTTTACACTGTGAAGTTCGAACACTCAGACACGCTACTGATTTTGCACAGCAAAATTGATGGCACACTGGAGATGCCCGTATAGTTGACAAAAATGTTACACGCACTGACAATAACAACATTATAAAGGGCTTTCACAGTGCGGGGACGTAGCGAGTTTCTTCGCACTGCTAGCTAGAAAAATCGCCACCTGTCAACCGGGAGTGCACCCCACTAGAGTCCCTCGTTCCCACGTTGAGATACGCTATTCTTCCCCTCCTAAGTCCACGCGCGGCGGAGAAAGAGCTTCTCGTGTGCACTGTGGAGGGTGTGGCTCTGTCGCGCGCGTTCCCCTCGCGCCGCCTGGGAGAAGAATCCCAAAATTGCCCTCCCGCCCCCACCTATTTCTTCCTCCCGCGCAAGATTTCGTTGCTCCCACGCTCACATGGTTGCTCGGCTCCGTGGGTGGGAGTCCCTCACGCCTCGCCCTCTCCAATTCACGGCCAACTCGCCATAGCCGCTCGCGCCACCGACAGAGTTGTTCCCATGCAATCCTCACCTTCCCCTCCAGAGAAACCCTTGCTCGAGCTCTCCCTCGCCGTCGTTGTCTGCAAGAGGTAAGCAAACCCTAGCCCTGCATGGTTAACGGTGGCGCGCCGCCGAGGGATGGGAGGATAAGAAGCGTGGCAGGATAGGAGAGCGGATCGACGTGGCGGATGGGGAGGAGAAGCGGCGCCGTGGATGTGGAGGAGAAACGATGCGCACGAGTGGGGAGGAAAAGTGGAGCGGCGCGGCGGAAGGCAGAGCGAGCGGCGCTGAGGATAGGAACGCGGATTGGAGTCGATGCGTCACGAGAAGGAAGGGGCAGATGGGGCAGATTATCTGTGGCCCATTCGGCTGGGGCACCGGCTAGGTATGTATTTGTGGGCTGTGTTACCTCACTAATAACATAATCCAGTTAAGCCATTTAAAAGAGGTCGCAAGCACTGTGGGGATGCATGGCCTATGGATGATTCCGGGCCAATTTCGTGGATAAATGGGCTAGAGGCACGTTAGGAGTACCTTGTCCTATGAGTGTCTTAAGGCCACGAGTAATGTAGAGGAACCAAGTAGTATATATAGATTGTCGAAACAAGATTTCGGTAATACTTAAAGGGGGTGGCTATCAAGCTAGAAAAGTGGATGGGTTTGAAAACAAGAAATTTTATACAGGTTCAGGCCTTCTTATTCAAGAAGTAATACCCTACTCCTGTCCGGGGATGATTCCGCCGAGTATATATTGATCGTATGATCTGGGGAAAAAGAAGTGTCCCGAGAGGAACCCGGACCCCTCCTTATATAGGGGAAGGGGTCCGTATTATAAAATACAGTCCATATCCCAAACGGAATATATGATTACAGATAAAATACAATCGTAACCGACTAAGATCCCGGGTATTTCCTTGACATACAAGTTTAAAAACTAACCCGAATCCTCGTAAAGATATTCTATCTATATTTGGTGTCGTGTACCCAACTAAACTATAACTGCCATGTAGATATGGGATATCTATAATCTCCACAGTAGCCCCCGAGACCTTTGCAGTCGACGAAATAGCTTTTTCAGAACAAAAAGCAAAAATCCGAGTGCTTCAATTCCTCTTGCTCTGGCCTGCCGAGTACTAAAATCAAAGACTGTGAAGGGCGAAAATAAAACATGGTGCATCGAGTAGATGCACCTAATTAGGTATAACCCCCGACTATGTGGTTAGTTGAAAAACTAAACGTGTAGTTAAGAACCGAGTGGTTTTACAACCAAACATCATATAGCAAAGCACGCATGGTATTCAGTAAAATACCCAGCCGACTGCTTCTCAACTTGAATATATCAAGAATAAAAATATGAAAAGGGCCCGAGTGATAAACACTCAAAATGTCCACAAAAAGACATATTTGACAAGAATCCGAGTAAGAAACTCTTAAAATGATCTACCAAATATGATAAAAATCATGGTAATTAAGAAGTTTAATAGCCTAGGCTATAACCCTCACCATAATCAAAATAAGCATATAATATGCCAAGAGAATGACTCTTAATAAACTAGTCATCTCGAATCAACCCAAATAGCTTTTGCAGCCTAATAAAGCTTACAAAAATAGTATAACACCTTTCTGTCGGGCACCTTTTTATTTGCATCGTGGTAATTCCAAAGAATTATCAAACTGCGTTAAAAAGGATTTTAACAGCATCGGGTCACATCATTGTGAGCACAAATTGCCAAAGCAAAAAGCGCCTAAGTCCATAGGGATCACAACGGGCCACGCTGGTAATAATATTGGGCTGAAGTACTGTACAGGCATAGGCCCATTAGCACTCCCGATACTCTAACAAAACACCGAAGTCCAAGCGACGCTTCGTCTTCCCCGCCGAAACTCTCGTCATTTCCCCACTCCTTGTTACAGTACAAAGCTGCGCCGACGAAGCTAGGGTTCATCAATCCGCCCCAATCCATTCTCAAAAATCCACGAAACTTCTCCACGCGTCCACCGCACCGATTCCCCATTCCCCTCCAGCAACTTTTCAGACCGAATCTGACTGTTCGACTCGCACCCATGGCGGAAGAGAGAGAAAGTTTCGAGAGTCAGTAGGCGCCCTCCGACGTGACGGAGGAGAATCTGAAGGAAATGGTGGCGCACGGCGTTCTTCCGGCAAAGGAGATCATCGGGTGGTGGCCAGCGTTTGGCGAAGCGTTCCCAACCCCCGATACACACGAGGTCGTGGTATTTTCTCACTTCTTTTATGGTGGATTTTCTCTTCCAACTTCAAGATTCTTCCGAGGAATTCTAAGCTTCTATGGAATTAGCCTGCATCACCTGAATCCAAACTCCATAGTGCACATTGCCAATTTCATTCACGCCTGCGAAGCTTTTCTGGGCATTAGGCCTCATTTCGCCTTATTCCGCCGAATCTTCTTCCTCAAGCCCCAACCGAACAAGAGCAAACCATGCGTGGTTGGGGGCGCCAGCTTCCAACTCAGAGGAACACTAAGCCAAAAGTATTTCTCCATGCCCTTTAAGACCTCAAACAAAGGCTGGCACGCAAACTGGTTTTACGTTCAAAATCCTAAACCCGCACTCCCCGAGTACTCCTGTCTTCCTCGGATTTACCAGGACACATGGAATTCATTGCCTATGGGAGATGAAGCTGCTCAGGCAGTGGAATTGATGGAACGAATGCTAAAGCTGAAGGAACAGGGTTTGCAGGGAGAACAAATCACTCGGCACTTCATCAAAAGTCGGTTAGCTCCAATCAAAGAGAGGTCCCACACGGCTTTTGAGTTTGACGGCAAGCATGATCCAAATCGTGAAGATCTAGACTCTCTTGACTTTAAGGTCATGAAGGAAAGAATATACAAGATCTTCTCAAATGCCATTGTTATCGGCTATTCACATCTGTTGCCAGTTGTGCCATACAATGCATTCAACCCTCCTCCACCGGTATGTACTCAAACACTTCAGCCTTCCTCAAAATATGATCTCGTCTTTTTGTTAAATCAATTGACAGTGGACGATATTATGTCTAGGATTTTGCTCTGATGAAGTCGGATCCCCCAATCGCTCAGCGCCGATCACCTCGCCGTCAGACTGGTCAGGGGAGCGGGGGACCAAAGATCCGGTCCGAAGCCCAGCCCAACACTTCTAATCCAGCCGGCCAGTCAGATTCCTGTAAGAGGAAGTTAGTGCTAAGTGACGACGAAGGCGACGATGCTGAAAAGACTAGAGATAGAGAAACAACCAGAAAACTCCCGAAGCAAGCCATTCCAAAGAAGAAAACATCCAGTCATCCTATGCCGAAGATCAGGAAGTCTTCCAGGTATAAATCATATAACATTCTTCCTTGTACTGATGCTCACTTATCATGAAAACAACGCTGACAGTACAACTCAAACTCGTAGGAAACCATCTGATATAGATCCTTCTGGGAAGGACTCTGATCCGACTAACATGGAGACGAGTTCTTCCAAGGAAACCGGGCCGACTGCTAAGGATCATCCGAGTGACAATCAGCCGGCAATCGACAATGTAGAATCCGGTGATCAACCCCCGACTGGAAACCAATCGGCCGAAGCTGAAGCCGGAGTTAATCAGGAGCCCCCGACTGGAAACCAGTCGGACACAGGGCCAAGCCAAGAGATTCCAGAAGTTGAAGCTCAGGCTGATAGCCCTCGCGGACATGATGCCAGCAACGACCCGAGGCCTGGATCTCCTGCTAAGACACAAGAGCCGACTCGTCCTCGCCCGGGAATCATCACGGGTAAACACCTTGCCTGAAACCGTGTTAATCCAACCGACTTTAATTGATCATCTGATCTTTATCCATGGATACATTAGGACCAATGATTGGTGATGAAGAGGAAGTTCTCCGGATACGTGCGGCTGAAGACTCGCGCCCTTCCATTTTGGTCAAGTGGTGGGATGATGACTTGCAACCTCAAGGAATTGTAATAAACCGGCAAAAAGAAGACGAAGAGGTATGCCTACTGAAAAAGGCGCTCGGCCAAGCGATTCTCATTGTAAACGTAAGTTCCTTGACGCCTGACCTCAGCCATCTTGTTTGCCATCTAGCTCGAGCGCTGATAAAACTGTTTTGCAGAGGATTCACCTTAGGAGCGAGGCGAAGACCACAACCCTAGAGAAATTAGTTCCTCATCTTGGAACCCTTGAAGCTGTCAGAGATCAATTGCACGAAGCAAAAGAGCTTGCCAAGAAAACCGAGCACGATCTAAGGGATCGGATCGCTGAGCTCCAGGAGTCTAACTTCGAACTAAGTGGTTCATCAAAAGGTACACAAAATCCGTCCGACTAACTTGTGCTGTCATCTTTGTAGCTTCAATTAACCGGAGTTAATGTAGTGCAAGCTGCCAAGATATCTCAATTGGAGAAGCAGATTCAGGCTCTAGAAAGCGACAAAGCAGAGCTGGCAAGACAGGGGGACTCGGCTTTGAAGGATGTTGAAGGTAGCATCAATTGATACTCCGAAAGCCATTGCCTTCTGTATGCTGACTCATTAATATGAATCTGTTGGTGCAGACCGCAAGATCAAGTCGCAGGCTCAATTCGACGTCCTGGTTGGCAAAATCAAAAGACTTGAAGGGGCCAGGGATGAAGTTGCTAATGTTGCTACCCCACTCGTCCAAGCGATGTTCATCAATAACAATGGCCCGAGTACACTTGATGCTTCCGAAATCTTCGACAAGCTGAGAGTTGCTCCGGATACATATTTCAAGAATATCAAAGAAGCTGGAAGTATGGGAGCGAGTCTGGCGTTAGCAATGACCAAGTCCCTTTACCCAAAAATCGACATTGATGCCATTGACGGCTTTGCAGACGGGACAAGCGAAGAAGCTGTTCTCGATCTTATCAATGATGCACAGAAGGTTGCTGACAAGATAGCAGTTGATGTAGTGGAGAGATTTCAGGACACCGATCTTCGACTGACTGGTCTTGATGACTCTGATGATGAGAAAACTGATACTGATTGATGTAATGTAATGACAATGATTCTGATGATGATGATGATGATGATGGAGGCACAATTTGTACAATACTGATGAATTTATGCTGTGCCCAATGTTTCATACTTAGCTTCTGATTTCTTAAAAGTTTTTGTCAAGCCTTATTGAGCCTAAAACCCGCAAAAGCTATTTAAAAACTTTCAGTCCTCATGGACTAAGCCAAAAAATTAAGCAAGGCAATGATAAATCGAATAAGCAAATTGGACTAATAAAAATCACACTCCATTATTATGACAATAGCCCCCGACTGATAACTTCAAGGGAAAGCTTGATGTTGTCAGTCAAGATAGGGAGATACAGAAGCAAACTTAAGCATAAAAACGACGAAGATGTTCGATATTCCAAGAGTTGTCAATAGGTGTACCGTCTTCACGCTTGAGTCGATAGGAACCTGGCCGAGTGACTTCAGAGATTATAAATGGCCCTTCCCATAAAGGAGATAACTTGTGCTGATCCCGTGTAGTTTGAATTTTCCTCAAAACCAGGTCGCCGACTAAGAAAGCACGCGATCGGACATTACGATTGTGATAACAACGTAACCCTTGCAAGTATCGGGCTGACTGAATTAAGGCTGCTTCACGGGCCTTTTCCAGTCGGTGTAGGTCATCCACTCGGTCTTCCCCGTAGCGCTCTTCGCGAAAATTACGAAAACGCAATGATTCAAATTCTACTTCACTAGGCAACATTGCTTCTGCTCCATAAACTAGGAAGAATGGCGACTGGCCCGTAGCCCAACTGGGGGTGGTGCGCAAGGACCAAAGTACAGATGGCAGTTGTTCCACCCATTTGCCGGCATAAGGATTCAGTCGGTCAAAAACTCGTGCCTTTATTCCTTGGAGTACCATGCCGTTGGCTCGCTCGACTTGCCCATTGCTCATAGGATGCGCTACGGAGGCATAACAAATCTTAATGCCGAAGTCTTCACAAAAATCTTTAAATACTCCACTGGTGAATTGAGTACCATTATCAGTGATGATCTGATTAGGTACCCCAAACCGATGCACAATGTTGATGAAAAAATCTCTAGCTTTATCTGCCGTGATTGTGATGACCGGTTTAGCTTCAATCCACTTGGAGAATTTATCAATAGCCACAAAGAGATGTGTGTAACCGCCAACTGCCTTTTTGAACGGGCCGACCATGTCAAGCCCCCAAACCGCAAACGGCCAGGACAGCGGGATAGTTTGCAACTCTTGGGCTGGCAAATGAGTTTATCTAGCGAAAAATTGACAACCTTCACATGTCCGTACGATCTTGTCGGCATCGGACACAGCGGTGGGCCAGAAAAAACCTTGCTAGTAAGCCTTGCTGACAATGGTGCGTGCAGCAGCATGGTTGCCACAGATACCAGAATGTATGTCCTTCAGCAATTGTCTCCCTTCTTCTAAGGATACACAGCGTTGCAAAATTCCTGATGGACTTTTCCTGTACAGCTCGGTCTCATGAATAATATAAAGCCTGCTGCGCCTGGAAATCCGCTCGGCTTCGTCTTTATCTTGAGGGAGTTCAGAAATCGTATAAGAGGCTCTCTCCAGTCGGTTTCGACCATAGCTATGTTTTGAGTGTCCGCGGCTTCAACTGTTTCTCTCTTGGGTACGGTTGGCTCATAAAGATATTCGACGAACACATCAGAAGGGGCCGCTTCGCATTTGGATCCAAAATTCGCTAATCTGTCGGCTGCTTCATTATTGTCCCGAAGAACGTGAGTGAGTTCGAGTCCATCGAACTTATCCTGCAACTTTCATACCTCTTGTCGATAAGCGATCATATTGTCGTTGAGGCAGGACCACTCTTTCATTACTTGGTTAACAACTAACTGTGAATCTCCACGAACTATCAGATGCCTGATTCCCAAAGAGATTGCGATCCGTAGTCCGTGAAGGGGCGCCTCGTATTCTGCCACGTTGTGAGATGCAGGAAAATGTATCCATAGCACATAGCTCAGTCTTTCTCCAGTCGGGGAAATTAAAACAACTCCGGCCCTAGTGCCTGAAAGTCTCTTTGACCCGTCAAAGTGCATAGTCCAATACTCCATCTTTTCCTTGGGCGTGTCCTCTTGGCACTCGGTCCACTCAGCGACAAAGTCGGCTAAAGCTTGGGATTTGATCGAAGTTCGCGGTTTGAACGATATATCCAAGGACATCAGTTCTAAGGCCCATTTTGCGATTCGCCCGTTTGCTTCGCGATTATAGAGGATATCACTGAGTGGAAACGATGTAACCACCGTGACCGAGTGGCCTTGAAAGTAGTGGGATAATTTCCTGACGGTGATTAGAACACCGTACAACAGCTTCTGAACTTGAGGATATCTCGTCTTGGAATCGGCCAACACCTCACTAACGAAGTAGATCGGTCACTGGACTTTCTGAACATGGCCTTCTTCTTCACGCTCGACAACCAGGACCGCGCTCACAACCTGAGAAGTGGCCGATACGTATAGTAATAGCGGCTCTTGTGGGTGTGGTGAGGCCAAAACTGGTGGAGTAGTGAGAAGTTTCTTGAAATCTTCAAAGGCTTTCTGTGCTTCGGGTCCCCACTAGAAATTGTCTGTTTTCTTTAACAGTTTGAAGAAGGGCATCCCCCGCTCGCCGAGTCGTGAGACAAACCGACTGAGCACCGCCATGCATCCAGTCAGCTTTTGAACGTGTTTCTAGGAACACGGCGGCTTCATGTTGAGGATGGCGTTGACTTTCTCCGGGTTGGCCTGTATGCCTCTGTGAGACACCATAAATCCAAGCAGCTTCCCTGACAGTACTCCGAAGGTGCATTTTTTTGGGTTTAGTTTCATCCTGAAAGCACGGATGCTCGCAAAGGTTTCTTCCAGATTCGTAATCAAATCATCCTTCTGCTTGGTCTTGATGACTACATCATCCACATAGGCTTCAACATTGTGACCAATTTAAGTCGAGAAACATCTCTGGATCATGCGTTGATAAGTTGCTCCAGCGTTCTTTAGTCCGAAAGGCATGGTGATGTAGCAGTAGGCCCCGAAGGGCGTAATGAACGAAGTCTTCAAGCAGTCGGATTCCTTCAATCGGATCTGATGATATCCCGAGTAGCAATCCAAAAAACTGAGCAGCTCGCAGCCGGCGGTCGAGTCGACTACCTGGTCAATGCGAGTTTGAGCCATCGCGATCTCGCGGGTTTGAGCCATCTCGCAACTTTCCTTGTCACATGTGACAGCTTGCTTGATGTCGCTCCGTAGGAATATGACTCCTCGAGGACCGGGCATCTTCATCATCATGTAGGTATAGTGCGGGACGGCCATGAACTTGGCTAACGCCGGGCGTCCGAGTATGGCGTGATACGCTGTCCTGAAATCAGCGACTTCGAAGCAGACGTTCTCTGTGCGGAAGTTCTCCCGAGTACCAAAAGTGACCGGAAGAGTGATCTGGCCGAGTGGTGTTGCCGATAGCCCTAGGATGACTCCGTGGAAGGGTGCATTACTCGGGTTTAACTCGGTGCGAGGGATCTACATGTCATCCAGGGTTTTGGCGAATAGGATATTGAGTGCGCTGCCACCATCGATGAGAGATCTGCGAAGCTTGACGTTGCGAACCACTGGGTCTAGTACCAGGGGGTACCGCCCCGGGTGGACCACTCGGTCAGGATGATCCGAGCGGTCAAACTTGATTGTTATCTCCGACCACCGAAGATATTGGGGCGTATCGGGCTGGACAGCATTGATCTCCCTTTCAGTCAGCTTTTGCTTTCTTTTAGACTCGTAAGCCAGAGGGCCGCCAAAGATGTGGTTGAGCTCCTTACTGTGATCTTGAAAACCTGTCGGGGGATCATCATCATCATCCTTCTTTTTCGACGTACTTTGTTCTCCGTCAGGGGTCTTCCGTGCATTCTTGGCATATTGCTCTGCAAACTGCTTGTAGACGAAGCAATCCTTAGCTGCGTGGTTGGAGTTGGGATGATGCGGACATTGGGAGTTCATGATCTTGTCAAAAGTGTTGACGCGCGAACGTTGTCGGGAGGAGTGTGTAGTAGTCGCGACGAGTTCCTCGGGCTTACGCTTGCGGTCCTTGTGATTGTTACTTCCACCCCCTCCCGTAGTCGGCACATCTTTCTTTGACTTCCAAGTAGGACCCGACTGCTTGGATGCGATAATGGCGTCTTTGGCTTTGGCATACTCGTTGGCTTTTTCAAACATCTGTTTGACTGTCTTGGGAGGCTTGCGCCCGAACTTGCCAACTAGGTCTTCGTGGCGAATTCCTTTGGTGAAAGCAACGATGATGACGTCGTCGGTAATGTCGGAGATCTTGTTGCGCTGTTCAGAGAAGCGTCGGATGTAATCTCGAAGGGATTCTCCAGACTTCTGAATGACGTTGTAGAGATCAAACTGTGTGCCGGGGCGTTCAAAGGTGCCCTGGAAGTTGGTGATGAAGTGGTCACGAAGTTCCGCCCATGATCCAATCGTGCCACGGGGTAATCCATGGAGCCAGGACCAGGCAGAATCCGCTAGGGCCACAGGTAAGTAGTTTGCCATGGCCTTGCTGTCTCCTCCTGCTGCGCGGATTGCGAGACCGTAGACGGTAAGCCAAGACTCCGGATTAGTGGTGCCGTCATACTTCTCGATTCCAGTCGGCTTGAAGCCGGCTGGCCAATCCACTCGACGTAGGTCGTTAGTAAAGGCAGCTACTCTATCCACGTCGTCGTCGTAGCGATCTGGTGAATGGCGGTGACCTCGTGCTGCACGGCGCTGATTGATTATATCGCGAATATCGACAGGACGCTGGCGAGGTGGGGAGCGAGGCCGTTCAACTCGGCACTCCCTGTGTCGCTCAGGAGGCGAGTGAACAGATCGCTCGTCGTGGCCCCAGCTCCTGCGATTGGATCCTGTGCCGGTGATGCTGAGGCTTGGCTGGTAATAATCATGAGATCGGAGATGGGGAGCTCGACTGCCAGTCGGCGTGCAGACGCTTCCAGAGTTAACCGGGACCGAAGCGGCGATCATGGTCTTGGTCTGGTTCAAGATGTTGACGACGTGATCAGCTTGATTGAGTGCGTCTTCCTTGAAGAGGGTGTCGAAAAGGGTGATCGCAGCGACAGCGTTCTGTTGAAGGGTGCGAAAGACCGCTGTTCCCTCGACGTCTTGCTGCCCGATGAGATCTCGCGCTCGTCGCCCTGCGTCCAAGGCTTGTTGTCGTTGGTCCTCGGCCTCCTTTGCAGCCCGTTCGCGTTCTTGTTGCTCTCGCCGCAGTCGTTCTTGCTCTTGTGCTTGGCGCTCCTCTTCTAGTCGGCGTCGCTCGGCTTCCTGCTGTACGCGTTGTGCCTCTGTTTCTCGGGCTTGGCGTTGTTCTTCCGTCTCGTTGTCGGCCATGAAGACGCCAAAGTAGAGAGGGATGTAATTGTCTTCAAAGCTTTCGTCGAAGTCGTCGAGGTCACGGTTGTCGTAGCGGTAGCCGAATTCGTCGTACTCCACGATCTCTGTTGGTCGTGAGTCGACGCCGGGGGAGCCGAAGTAGCCTTCCAGTTGATCTGTCGAAACCGTGCCGAGTGGCCGGAGTATGACGCCGACTTCCCTGGAGCTAGGCAAGGTCGGTGTTGAAGCCGACTTCCGCCTAGGCCTACGGGGAGAAGACGCCCTTGTAGTGAAGACGGCAGCCAAGTCGTCGGGGAGTTTCATCAGGATTGGCGAGTAGGCCCCATCATCTTGATCTGGTGGTGTTGAAATAGATGGGATCTCGTCCGAGTGGTTTGAAGCCGACTCGATCGAGATAAGCTTGGAGTAAATCTTGGTCGAGTTCGGAACACCGAACGGGGCTGAGACCTAGTCCTTCCCTGACTGGATTGAATCCGAGTCAAGGAGAGAGATCTTGCCGAAGTCGTTGGTGATGAAGTCGAGGCTGCCGAACCGAAACGCCTGCCCGGGAGAGAAGACGAGGTCGTCGATGCCGGAGACGGAACCCATCGCACTAATCGGCGAAGAACTTGACGCTACCCCTACCTGGCGCGCCAACTGTCAAAACAAGATTTCGGCAATACTTAAAGGGGGTGGCTATCAAGCTAGAAAAGTGGATGGGTTTGAAGACAAGGAATTTTATACAGGTTCAGGCCTTCTTATTCAAGAAGTAATACCCTACTCCTGTCCGAGGATGATTCCGCCGAGTATATATTGATCGTATGATCTGGGGAAAAAGAAGTGTCCCGAGAGGAACCCGGACCCCTCTTTATATAGAGGAAGGGGTCCGTATTACAAAATACAGTCCATATCCCTAACGGAATTTATGATTACAGATAAAATACAATCGTAACCGACTAAGATCCCGAGTATTTCCTTGACATACAAGTTTAGAAACTAACCCGAGTCCTCATAAAGATATTCTATCTATATTTGGTATCGTTTACCCAACTAAACTATAACTGCCATGTAGATATAGGATATCCATAATCTCCACATAGATGGGTCCCACAATAAATGACATTAGTTGTGGCAGATCCTATATGTTTATAGGGATAGTTACAGATAAGTGGGTCCCATGGGTAAATAAAATATTTCTAGTCCCACCTACCGTCACCGGGCTCGGATCCAGACAAGTGGACGACCAACCAGAGTGGCAACAGGAGCAGCGAGCGCACGGCAGACTTCAATTTCAATATGAACATATATATATATATATATATATATATATATATATATATATATATATATATATATATATATATATATATATATATATATATATATATATATATATATATATATATATATATATATATATATATATATATATATATATATATATATATATATATATATATATATATATATATATATATATATTCTCTAAATCCAGAAGACAGATGAGATTCTAGGATTATCCTTTTGGGCAAAGACTTTTATGCATACTTCTTCTGGGTTATCTATACCATACTGTATTCACATAAAGATGATACACGCTAGCTAAAGATCCACCGGGTGTAACGTCATAAGCACATTGGAAACGTAAATAATTGTAACCATATACATATAAAATGACAGCAATGGAATCCCAATCCTCTGCTTTTATTTGTAAAGTCTCTGTTCCTCGATGATCGAAGCCCAAACATCTATGAAGCACCTCATGTTTGACTAGCCAATTAGATAACCAACCCTGCTGCATTATCTTGATATCTCTCTCTATGTGTGTGTGTCTATATATATATATATATATATATATTAGAATTCTCCAATGCATCATCACATTTGCTAACCCTAGTGATGAAACCACATGCAAGAATTTAGTAGTATGATTTTAAGAGTGAAGATTTGTCTAGTTCTCCGCACGTACATTTTTTGATAATGCTAAACGATGCGTCTTTTGAAAAAACAATTATAAAAAAGTTTTTTTAAAATCCATATTAATTTATTTTTCAAATTTAATATAATTAATACTTAATTAATCATGAGCTAATAGTTCATTTCATTTTGCGTATCTTCTCAATATTATGTTTTTCTCAAACACGGGAATATGTACGCAAGCTTTACAAAATTTTCCCGTGCAGTACACACCAACTAGCAAATATCACGAAAAAATCAATAAAAAAAACTGCATATGTGCTCTTAATAGTATTGCACATATATTCAAAGTCTCATATTCAAATTCATCATATTTTAGCCGTAACAAAAATTAAAAAAAAAGTTACGGCTTAATTTGAAGATAAAATTTCACACATATGCATAATACTATAGGAAATAGGTGTTTGATATTTTATATAATTTTCCGTAAGATTCACTAGTCGGTGTGCATACGTTCTCCCGAAACACCCCCATATATACGATAACTAGTGGAAATGTAGAAAATTACACAGCCAAGAAAAAGAAAAGAACAGTAGAATTTCAGAATTATTTCACACACATGGACAGATTAAGATACTCTGCAGTAACTGCACCGTGCCTTTATCACTGATATATGTTAACCTTCGGATTTATGTGTACTCGACTGGATCTGATCCCACGTGGGCCACGAGAAAATGGACATTTAGCCACTTTCAAAATATGGTTTCGCTAGAATGCCATTCTGAAAACGCGTTTCACTAAAATGCCAATATGAAACGCGCACTCACTGCCATGCATTTTCGAAATCATTTTCTCTCCTCCACCAGATGATGAGACGAAATTACCCTTCCTGGTGAGCGTGGTGAGCAGGGGACAAAACGCCATGGCCTCGCCGGCATATTGAGTGGCGGCGGCGGCGGCAGCTATTGTCTTCTCCCAACTCGGTCGCCCCATCTCACTCTCCAACCTACTGCTGACCACATCGAGAGAACAAGCATGGGCTGCCTCTTTGGTCTCAATCCCATCGCCGGCGGAGATGAAGACGATGATCATATTCATCACCAAGCCACGGTCGTCCTTGTCCCTTTTGCGTTCCATACTCAACTCATCTTGCCGAACAAACTTTCTTTTGACGCCATCGCGTTTGATCCATTGTAGCAACGGGAACACCGCCGCGCCATCGTCGTCCTGGAGCGCGCTCCGGAGCACCGCCGCTTCGGCATCGTCGACGTCCGGCCATCCTCATCCATCCCGGAGCAAGCCACCGCGCCATCAACTCCTCCTTGAGGTCCTCTTCAAAACCCCTCAAGAACCGAGAAGAATGGAGCATCGAGGAGGGAGATTGACATCGTCTTCTCCAACTTCGGCCGCCGGCGTCAATCTTCGATTCCCTCCGCTCCGGTGACCTCCTCGTCGATTCTTTGCGCATGCACCATCCCTGGGACCTAACCAACCTCATGGATGCACATGCATGGCTTCACATCGAATTGAATGAGTTGGCGTCGTCTCGCCGGAGCTCAGAGCCGCCGCTGAGACGTTTTATTCATCGCTGCCATCAACCAAGCCTCATGGCCTTTGCTCGGCCTCGCCCTGTCCCACACCGTCGTCGCCAACTCGTTCCGCCGCATCCCCGACAGGTCGACGCCCTCGTCAGCAACGATGACGACCACCTCGCCGCGCTCGACCATCTCCGCCGGCAGCACAAAACGAAGGAGAGAAAGAAAGAGAAGAGATGGACCTGCCATTGGCCCCAAGGGCATTTCCGTCTAATCACCACAAAGAAGAGGCAAAATGATTTCGGAATTAAGAGAAAATGAGAAAATGGCAATCCAGCGAGTTGCGCCGCCTTGATATTGGTGTATTCTAGCGAAACCGTGTTTTGAAGATGGCTAAATGTCCATTTTCTCGTGGGCCACCGGGCTGTGCGAACTCGCTACGTGGAATACTTGGGCCCTTCCCTTCCTTTCCCCAATCCGCCTCATCCGATAATACCCCCCACCCCTCTCTCGTTTCGGCGGCGGCGGCGCGCGGCCGGAGCCCGAGCTGAGACCACCACCACGGCACCACCACGAACACGACGATGATGGCCGCGGCAGCGAGAATGGCGTTCGCCTCATGCGGCCGCCTCCTCGCCCCCTCCTCGTCGTCATCCCTCCCCGCCCTGCCAAGAACCCGGGGCAGCGTCGCCGCCAGCGGCAAGCATCCCGTCTCGTTCTTGGCGGCGGCGAGATCCGCCTCCGTCCTCTGCTACTGCTCCGACGCCACCGTCGCGCCGGCCCCGCAGGCGGCGGCCGCGGAGGGGGAAGGGGAGGAGGGGGAGAAGAAGGCGGAGGTTCCCCCCGTGGAGGAGGTGGCGGCGCTGCTGGACATCCGGGTGGGGCGGGTGGTGAAGGCGTGGCGGCACCCGGAGGCGGACACGCTGTACGTGGAGGAGGTCGACGTCGGCGAGGAGCAGCCGCGCACCATCTGCAGCGGCCTCGTCAACTACCTCCCCATCGACCAGCTCCAGGTCTAACCATACACACAATCCATCCAAGATTTCTTATCATTTCAATTCAACATTAGAGATAATTCAATGTAAGAGTAAGCACTCACCGCGGCGTATTTATGCTTTTGCATAGCATATGGATCACAAAAATGTCTCATTTCAATCCATCCAAGATTTCTCATTTCAATTTAGCATTACAGAAAATTATTTGAGAGAAAACACTCACTGTGGCGTAATTAAGAAGCTTTATTTAGACTCGGTTAATTACATCGAGATGATCAATCGAACTGAGTCAACCCCGGCCTCTGCATAAAATGCACACAACCAAAAAAGAAAGAAACAACTAGAAACATCTCCCAAGCACAAAAGTTTGACAAAAACATATATCCAAAAGCTTACGCACTACATGGATCGCAAAATTTCTTCATTACAATCCATCCAAGATTTCTCGTTTCAGTTCAGCATTACAGAAATTCTTTGAGAGTAAACACTCAGCTGCGGCGTAATTATGTTTTCACATTTACATGGATAAAAAGAAACCTCTCATTTCAATCCATCCAAAATTTCTCATTTCAATTCAGCATTACAGAAAATTCATGTAAGAGCAAAATTATGTTTTAGCTTGGCATGGATCGCATGATTGTGCATTTCAGAACAGCAATATGTGCCTTCCAAGTGTCGTATATCGGTATATGGACCAAGATGTATGCTGGAGGGTATGCATCAGAGAGCGGAGCAAGATAATCGGTTATAATCATTTTTAATTTATCAGGAAATGCATGGATTGGATTAACCTGGCCCAAAATCCCGATGCTTTACTCTGCAAAGTTAGCACTCTATTTTGGTCAAGATTCAATTCGCACCAAATCTGGCTGCGCATGTACAGCCCTAGTGTTAACAGAGTTCGGGAACGAAAACTATGCTAGTCAAATAATGTGTAGGTCCTTTTGGTTATTTCTTTTCGTACTACTGATGACAACTGCTATTGTTTGTGACACATGCAGGACAGCAATGTGATTGTTCTTGCGAACCTCAAACCGAGGAACATGCGGGGGATAAAGTCAAACGGCATGCTTATGGCTGCATCTGATGCTTCTCATGAAAATGTCGAATTGCTTACCCCTCCTGAAGGATCTGTTCCAGGTGAAAGGGTATGGTTTGGTACTGAAGATGGAAAGGATCGCCAATCAGAAGCTGCTTCACCAAATCAGGTAACACTTTGGGTAGTTTAAACTTAGATTAACACATTGTTGTTTTAACAATTGCATTTCTTATGAAATTCAAGAAAATTGATATAGTTTAATGTAGAATTTAAGAAAAATATTTTAGTTAACAGACCTCACCTGTATATGTATTGATAAACTATGCTACAGTTTTATACTATACACATCCCAAACTAAAGTATTTTTCAGCATCGCAGTTAATTGGATTGTTGTGTTCTTTTAGGTTCAAAAAAAGAAGATTTGGGAATCAGTTCAGCCTCATCTTAGGACATCAGAAAACTGCACAGCATTTCTTGGCGAGCACCCGATGCGTACCTCAGCGGGTGTGGTTTTCTGCAAAACTTTGCAGGGTGCAAGAGTGTCATAAGTCTCTTTCAAGAAGCTTTTTTTTTTTCTTCTTTGGTATCCATATTGTGTACCTTACTGAAAATAATCATATGGTATGAGTAAAAATCTTAGAGCAAGATGGTTTCTGAGGCTTTATGGAGGTCGTTCACAATTTTGTAGCTTTCTGATGTCAAAGCTGGAACATTTTACTTCAATTGGAGATTGATTTATAATTTGATCATGAGAATTCGAAATGTGATTAACTTTGTAAGGAAGTTATGTGGTACTTTGATAAGGTGATTTCTGCTCTTAAGGATCCATGTGCACTGCTGCCAAATTACTCTAAACAAACAGTAAACACAACCCATTAGCCACTATATAGTGGATATTAACCACTATATAGTGGATATTCCGGTCGCCTTTCGGTCTGTTTTCCTCAGCAAGTTCTATGATGTATGCAAATGTTGTGATTTCTAAACATTTTTTTGAGCATATCTCGATGTCATAGAGATCAAGGTTTCCCTTACCGTTTTTGGCGCGGTTACCGCACCCCCACGGTAAGGTGGTTACCACGGTCCACTAAAACCGAGCGGTAGCCGCGAGACATACCGTGGTTTTAAAAACTGAAAAGGTTACCGTGCATGGTAACCGTGGTAACTGTGCGGTTTTGTAAACCCTGATAGAGATTACCATAAGCCGAAACGATTTTAGCGCCTTAAGTGTCCATATAAACTGGTTGACAGTTGCTTCACATGTATTCATCATAAATTTTGAGGAACAATGAGATCGGAAACTCATGAACTGACTAGTTTCTCTTACAAATGCAGTAAATCTTGGATTACCCATCGATCTAATGCCATATGGTAAATTGAAGATGCACATATATACTACATCAACATAGCTGCTACTTTGATTTCCGTGATTTGAATATGTTTTCCTTGTAGTATTGTAGCTCCTTAATGCTTTCTCTAATGTCATCCATCGCCCTGTGGTTCTTCTCCTTCCTTGGAGCATGTTTCCTTTCTGCGGACAGTAAACAAAACAAAGCAAGGTTATGTTTTGTGGAGATTCTGTAACTTTTTGGTCTGTAAATAAAGGAAATTAAAACTGCTATGGAGAAAATAAGTTGATTTCAATCAACTTCGACTTTTTAAAACAGCTACCTACGATGTATATGGATTGATATACATCGACGATATTTTTTTCCTCAATTACAACGTGATTCTCTTTTTCAATTCCACAATAATGTGTGGGAATTCAGTTGTTAAAGAATAAGTCAGCCAGCAGCTTGGTCAAGTGCAGAATTTGTTAATTCACGGAGGAAAATCACATCGCACACACCCAAAAGTGTAGCAATCAGATATTAAACTGTTGAAGCAGAGGACTACAAGCACAGCACAAGACTGAAAGCAAGAATTAACATTACATTTATAAATACCGGAGTAATTTTACCTTTGGGGAACCATCGGGAGCACAAAGCCGATATACTGCTTACATCAACTATCACATGAGAGAAAATGGCTGCCAGATGTGGCATGTACTTCTATAAAACAAAACAACACAGAAAATTGTCATTCAAAAAGTGTTTCAAAACAAAATTCATAATGCTAACTATCCTATGCTAGCTCATAAGGATATTGGAATACTTTTCACAACATTCTTTGAGGTTACATAATTTATTTATATAATGCTGAAGGTGAAATCATTTGGCTACTATAGTGATGTCAGTTGGACAGAGGTGACCTTTGCTTGCTAGATACAAATTCAATATTACCTAAACTGAACATTTTCAACACGATAATAAAAAAAGTTATGTAAATATACAAAATCTCAGATGCAATTACTGATAGAAGGGACATTGAATATTGTATCAGAATACAATTTTTCATATACCAAAAGAAGATAACAAAGTTGCATATGGAAGGCGGCTTAAGGAAAGTCCGTAAGTTTTATTTGAGCAATATATGCTCTATGCACAAATAACACTGCAGTGCAATTGGTATGCAGATAAGGTAAAGTCTGCAAAGTGTTGCATTAACTTGAGTTCTGCAATATTAAAAAAAAAACGCTTTCCAACTTAACAGCACAGATAATATTTTCTGATCTCATTCTTTACCAATAAATCTAGGATAAACTAAATCGAAATCGCACACTGGCCTGCCTCACTCCAGATTTAACCAGTTCAATAAGGCCAAATAAGGACATAATAAAATCCAACGTAAAGGCATTTCAAAATTACAGCCTGGCCATTTGCCTAACCATTTCACTTTTAACTGAGGTTAAGTGTATGCTTTCTCTTACTAACCTTCAAAAATAGTAAATCCATATAGACAGAATTCCCAGCTATCAGTGGAGTGGCTGAGCCTATATACTTCCTAATAAAATCTAGCACCTGAAAATAATTGACAAAAGGAAACCTTCATTAGGAAATTTTACATTGGAAAGAGAAACATTCAGAATATGAAAACATGCATTGAACATTTGTCAGAAATGTACAATTGACCAAAAAATAGAAATAGAAAGAACGCTTGTATGCAACAGTAACAACACAGACAGAGACACACACATGCACAAAGGTAGTTCTACACACACAACTTGGTAAAGTTTCCATAGAAACTGCAATCGAGGAGAAAAAAAAGGTAAACATAAATGGCAAATGGTGCAGTAATATAATGTATTATTGTTTGCAAGCAACAAAATCACAACAGATATCATAAATATCGTTCATCTTACATATGTTGGCAAAATACATTAACTATCAAAAGACTGAAAGAGACCTAGTTTACACATAGAGCAGCACAACAATAGAACATGATTTCACTAAAGCTATACTACTTAAAATGTTAGTAGTGGTGGTGTCCATTTCCACACCACCGCTATCACTAACATCTGGGCCCCACAATCTATACTGTTATACCACTTTTCAACAAGTCTACTATTGGCTCCCCCCAAATTTCAAAATCACCTACTTGTTCAATAAGAAAAATCATGGTATTACTTATACTAAATAAGTGCTTATTAATTGATTTAATAAGCTAGAAATTCAATTTGTTTTCCATTGCAACGCACAGGCTAGGCTAGTATATCAAGATGATTGTACACTGTAGTCACATGTACACTGCACGTATACAGTATCCTCATTTGCAAAACTCATGATTGTAGTTGCTGTCTAGCAACACAACAAAGTTCCACCTAGTCATCTACTCATCTTGAACCGCGATATGTGGTGGATAACGCCATTGAACACTGGTAAAGGAGTTCGATACAATACATTGGCCAGTAGGCGCCTCTTTCTATCGGACAAAATTCTGCTTAACTATAAGGGCACCTTCAGAGATTCAGATGTACTAAAAGAGAAGAGCATACTTGTTTCTCAGCATCATTCTCAGAAATGTCGCTCTGCAGCACCTTTTCCTTCAGCCCTGAATTGGTTTCATGAGTAACAGATTTTTGCTCACAAGTATATCATTTTGAGGAAGATAAGCTGTTTACCGCTAGCGCTGTGATGAACTTTGCACCATTCATTCATGTCATTTACACATTCCTTGCTCTGTCTTATAACCAAGTCAGGACCCTGCAAAGAAGTGACTAGCTATGTTTAGCAATATCTCTGGATTTGAGATACCATCACTACCCAATAAGGTAATCAGATTGCCTATGCCAGTTGTGATCAAATTGCAGTATTGATCAACTGATATAGATTAGAAACTTGATATACAAAGTTAAATTTGCCAAACAACATGGTTATCCAGGATCATAATGGGATTAATAGAATTGGAAAAATAAGACATAGACTAAACCCCAACTTATCGGAATCTTATGGCATATCTCCTTGCATCTTTCCTATACCCTAATATTCGTAACATAACAACATCTTGATTCAGAATATATTTGTTTCTATTCTTAGATTTACATTGAGACATATCGAGCTAATTAGTACTAAAAACAAAATAACTCAACATTCCGATAGTCCTGATGGATTTGTAGCCTTATTTAGCAGTTTTTAACATCTTTATAGACCATGAGCTTGGATAGACCAGTTTCAGTATATGCTACTACGAGCAATCATTGCATAGTGATTAAGAGTCACATATTGCACAGCCATATAAAAATAAACTGTTAAGGAGCATCGTAAATACCAATGAAACATATTATTATAAGAAACTGTTCACTTCCTAAATTCAAAAGTCAATGGTGCACTACAAGTTAGGTATTTCTGAGCAAAGAAAACTATTAATATAGAGCAATCAGAATTGCAGAAACACTTAGTTTCAATAGACACCTCTATTCGTTTGGTAAGTTTACCGTCTGTTATAATACAAGCAATCTCCAGTATGCGATCTTTGGTGATATCCAAACCTAAACAATTAAAAACCAGCAGGCTCCCAATTAGTACACTGTATAGTTTTGGTTTAACGCATCTACAAATTTAACATAGAAGAGAACAATAACAAAAATGAGAGTGAAATCAAGAAACCACAGTTCAGAATGGAAGACTGAAATAACATGGGAAAAGTTCCTTTTTAACAAATTAGGAATATCAAGTGAATCAGTAATGACCTGTATATTGTTTAGCAACAGTACAAAGCATACAACCCACCATTATGTGTGCATGACACCAGAATTCAGATCAACTTTAGAAATGTAGTAGTATGTATCTTTACAAAGAGTGAAAAAATTTATCAGTTGTAAATCATGGCCATAATTTATTGATAGAGATATAGCATGATAAATATTTCATTGCAAACTCAAACGCTTAATAACCAATTTGATCAATATTGTGTAGAAAACTGGAGATAACACAGTTAAGGCTTTATATATAAATAATGGAAATATAGCTCTCATGGTTGAGGAATAAGTTTTATTAAGCATATTTAAAAAAATCTAATGAACTCAAAAGAAACATACAGCTTATGAAAAGAAGACTAACCAGTCATTTCCAAGTCTATCCACACTAATGGCTTATCATAATCACTTGATGATGAAGCAAGGTTTTCTCCATCGTGGTTTACAATCATTGTGTGATTCAGCCTGATTTTATCTGCAAAGTAAAAGTAATTTTAAATCTCATCCTGAGGAGACAGCAATTAAGGATTGGTGCTATGCCTACAAGACAAAACAACTAAAATAAAATATTTATTCGTCACTGCAGAAATCAAGTTAGCATGTTAATGCATAGGTCATTGATCTATTGTTAGAGGATAGATTTTTATGGACTTTCGTGATTCTATCACTGACCTAGGAGATTAGATCAAGTCCCCTAACAATACATTATTGCTTTCTGATACAGTGTAATTTGGACTTCTATAACAAAAAATGCATTGGAAGAATTGACTTTAGTTTTCAATAAGCCACCCACTATACATTGAATAAGACTGCATGACTATTTAGAAAGCTTCACAAACCGGTGAATGGAATAAAAGCCTCTGATTTTATGCTTTGACAAACAATATTTCAGGATTTAGGACTATTGATCTATGAGATCAGACATTCATGTTTCAATTTTTTTTTCAATCCAATCTAAAACTGGCAACATAATATCATATTTGGTTATGATGAATCGATATCATGAGAACCAGTAGATTATTTCACTATGAAACATCATGGTTGACAGCAGCGCATCACTTCATTGACCCAGCACCGAAATACACCGCCACCACCACGGGATCAACATTTAGCAGCACATCACTTCATTGACCCAGCACCGAAATACACCGCCACCACGACAGGATCAACATTGGTACAAACAGAGAGCATCAATTCAATTCAACAATGCAAAGGATGGAACAGCAATAGAGCGCTCTTCTTACCAATCTCCGTGCTGCTAGTAACAGCAGCAGCTTCGGCCTTGCTGGATGTTGGTGGTTCCGCACCTTCCTCTCTATCGTCCTCAGCATCCAGATTAAGAACAGAGAACATATTCGCGAGTTTGCTCATCTTTTCCCCCAAGAAAAGAGTGACGGAGCTGTAACCTGGAGCATGCGGGGGGTACAGTTGAAACCCCCCAGATTTGGGGGGGAAAGGAACTGCTATTAGTATTAGGGTTTAAGAGAGAGACAGAAGAAGCCTTAGCTTCCATCCAGATCTAGTAGAAGAGAAAGATAAGGTTAGGGCGAATTGGAAAGAAAGGGTGGTCACTCACCGGAGGCGGAAGCGGGATGGATGGAAATCGGGCAGCGCAGGAGAGCGGAGTCGAGGGCGAGAAGACGCGGCGGCGGAAGCAGCAGGACGACGGCGGCGCCGCTGCTCTTCGCAGTCGGCACGGCAGCAGGTGTGACGGAGTCGAGATCGATCGACTCGTCGTCACGGCTCACGAAGGCCCGCGAACGTGAGGGCCCATTAAGCTCACATTGTCCTAGCTCAAGCAAAAGTTTTTATATTTTTTTTAAAAAAAAATACGAAAATGCTCACTGCCGGGCTACCCCTGCGCGCCCCTCCCCACGTGCGTACCTATTCGGCCCACCCACTTCTCTCTCCTCTTTTTCCACAAAAGATATTTCACCTAGTGTATTTTCAATGTTTCACTATTTATAGATTTATAATGTTACAGTGAATTAAAATACTCTTTTGCAAAAAAAACCACATATTTTAGAAACTCTCTATTAACGGAATTTGATTTGTTTTTTTCAAAAAAAATGTTTCATCTAGTGTACTTACAATGTTTCACTATGTATAGATCTAATGTTGCAGTAAACGAAACATTCCATTGAAAAAAAAACCCACATATTTTGGAAACCCCCTATTAAGGGAATTTGGTTTATTTTTTTTGTTCCACCGAAAAATGTTTCACCTAGTATACTCATAATGTTTCACTATGTATAGATCTAATGTTGCAGTGAACCGAAACATTCTTTTGCTATTTGCTGAAATATTGTTTTTATATAAGGTGAAACAACACCCGATTTAAACGAGTGAAACATTTTCGATCTAGTGAAACAATTCCGATATACCTGGTAGAACATCGTGTAACATTTAAAAATAATTCAATAATAAGCTTTTTTTTTGTCAGAATATATCCATGTGTGGTCTTGTTTTGAAGATTTAATTGCAACGAATTAATGATGCAACCGGATCATGATTTGGATAAGTAATTTAAAAGAAAAATTGGTTTAAAATAGTTTTGCACGTAAATCGGGCTGACGTCAGCGCCCGATTTCCCTCGCTCCCCGTCGGACGACCGACGCGTAGTCGCGTATGTTCTTTTAAAGTAGGGCGGAACACATAAATCCTCTTAGGATTTTGTTTTGTGGCAGACGATGAGAGGGTTACACCATGACAATTTCACAGGCAGCCCCTTCTCATTCTCCTCTAAGACGATTTATCATAAGAAGATAACTACCTACCATCTGCAAAATACGGGTGGGGTGTTGCCTGCAAAATAACCATTTCCCGATCCAGAGGAAGGCGATTTATATGGCCCGGCTATGAAAAGCCTTCCCTCCCTTTGTAAATCATTATTGTATTCCTCAGAAATCTAGAAAATAAAAAAGAAAGAGGAGGTAAGGGGGGATAAGAAGGAAGCGGCGGTACTCAATAGAAGATAAATACTTTTAGCCATTGACTTTTCAACACATTGGTACTAGTAATGACATTATTATTGCAAGTTACTCCCTTCATCCTAGAGGCCTAGAGGGGAGAGGGGAAAGAAGAAGAGTGGGCAATTTAGTCATAAAAACTTGAAAAATTTAGTGAAGGAGTAAATAGTAGTATATGGCCTGGAAATTTATGATGGTATGGTTCCAATTAACCCTTTAATTACATATTCACAACCACTTTTTTTCTCCATTTACCTATTGTCCATCCCTAAAAATTCTTAGTAGTACGGACTACTCACTGCATAAAAAAGAAACCATTCTGTTTCATTTACTTCACCAGATTATTCAAATATTTGCTACACCCTATTAAATTTAGGTTTTCTCAAAAAAGTTTTGGTTTCAGCTATTGGTTAAGTTTATTTCTTAGGATATTTAATATATCGTGTATTAAGTAGATAATTTGTAAGAATAATCTAGTCGATAATCTAAATTATACAGGGCCAGTTAAGCGGAGATTAAGTTTCAAGAGGAAAGAATATGCTACCCTTTTTGTAAATGACGTGTGGTTGAAAGTATAATATCAAGAAATTTGAATAAGAAGTGACCTTTGAATAAGATGAATGGTTACATGTTATAATGTTATACCAAAAATCAATGACATTATTTATTAAAAAACAGTTGTAATATTTTGTTTCATTCGACCGAAGAAGATAATTAATTCGTACTCCCCGTACTCATTAAGGAAATCGTTTTAGACAGTAACACGGTCTCCAAAACACAACTTTGACTTCTTGTTTCTATAAAAAATATTTATTGAAAAGTGATATATTTCTATAAAAATATTTATTGAAAAGTGATATATGTATATTTTTATGAAAGTATTTTTCAAGACAAAACTATTCATGTAATTTTTATATTTTCAAATTATTAATGATTTATATATCTAAGGTTTAACTTAAACATTGTCCTAAACGACTTCTTTTATGAGTACGGAGGGAGTATACTCATTGAAAGGGCAACATCAGTTCTGAATTCCGTACTCTTTGTGCTTCAGAAATACTGCAGTTTAAGAACTCTATTCTACCTCTGTAACGAGGGCAAAACTAAAGCAATTTGATGACTTCTGTCCAGCTAAAATGTTTTTTACATGCCGTAGTCAAAAACTAGTTAGTACAGTATAAATTTAGTATGTTGCATCTCAAACTTTTGGTATCAGTCTCTCTCAGGGAGGCAAAATGCCTGTAAATTTTTCTTGGACTCTTCCCTTCAATTTCACTACCTTTGGGCAAACCTTCCCAGGACGATAAAATAGGACAGAGCAATGCAGCATCTCAAAATTCCCGGATAAGCTTATGCATGGTTACAGACTGAAGGTGAACATGACTTGTCCAAACCAAACCAGTAAGCTTCTTTGTGCATAAAATTATCTGCATAAACATTTGATATATCAAAACCATCATATTAAGAGCATTCAATCCAGTAAATAGACATACTGCAGAACACAGGACATCTAGCAACATCATACACATGTTGAATGGTCCCAAACGTAGGTGCAGTGAATTCATGTGTATTACCTGTTGCTCCAAAAGATCCAACACAGATGGCCATCTTTTTCCATGCTTTTCATGTCAGCTCCCTTATGTCCTTCAGCAGGTAGGCTATTCCTCACGCTGCCTGCCTTCCAGTGTAGCATAATCAAGCATCACCAGACCTACATAATGCACACCATCATAACACAAAGCAATCAGTGTAACACGATTTTTTTTCACGGTGAACATAATTCACAAAGCAATCAGTGTAACACGATTTTTTCATGGTGAACATTATTAAGAACCGTTGACAGCAAAGCACATTATTTTACAAACAGTTTGCCAGGACTGATTCACAGAAATAGCAAAAGTTCAAATCACTTGACAATCATCATCAACCCAGGGCAGACAAAGGCAAAGCTGATTAAATGGAGCACAAGGTGGAAAATAGAATGCCTGGAAAAATGTAATGAATGCACCCACATCACCCCAGTACAGTCTCCTAAACATAACATAAGATCAATGCAAAGTTAAACAAAACATCATTCAGGATCTGGTTCATGTTCAGAAGAAACAATGAAAGGTCAAGTGTTTCTTTCTGCTGTTTGAGGCCTTCTTTTAAAGCAAAACGAAAAGGTAAAAATCTATAAAAGGAAGAAACAAGCAGCCTTTGGCATGTATTTCAAGGAAAATGGTATATCATGTATTTCAAGTCACGATAGTATTTAAAAATAAATGGAAAATAAAAACTTGTGGTAACTTATGTCAGAAAACTCTATAGTTTACAATATTCAGAGTTGTTGGTCTAAGTGTCAAATGTAAAAGTGAAACATGGAAACTTCACATTTTGATACAGATCTGATCAACTCCATGTCCTCCGATAGACAAAAATGAGCAGTGACTGTGTTGCGTAAGTACATACTGCAGATAGTGCAAACCACATCACACATATATGGTATTCTTTTAAGAGGAAAATATGGTAATTTGACACGCTCACGTATTTGAGGAACTTACACTTGAAAAATCTCTACTACTTTAAAATTCCGTAGTGGTGGCGGTGACTCCAACCCTGGAAGACACGCGGAACATGAGCTGTTGGATCGCCATATCCAACGCTCCCAGTTATCAGTTATCCCCATGTGCTTGTGCTTCCCCCCTCCGCCCGCAACCCAAACCCACGTCGCTCTCCCGATCCAACCGCCTCCGTCCAACCGCCGCCGCCGCCGCCGCTCCATCCCCTCGTCGCGCCTCGCCGTCGCACCACGATGCGCCGCCGCCGCTCCATCCCCTCCCGCTCCATCGCGCCGCAACGCCAGATTCATCGCCGCTCCCCTCCCTCTCGACCGTTTCTCTCGGCGCCATCTCCGCACATCCCCGCCAGCGCCGGATCTCCCTTCTCGCCCTGTTTCCTTGCTGAAGCATTGTCGTGATATTCAGTTTGATCTGCTCGTCATATCGCTGCCGCACAACTCGCCGAATACCAAGGCTCGTAAACAAGCGCCGCCGCTGCCGCCAAATCCACCGAAACCAATCTACGCGGCCACCACACGATGGATGCATCACCGTCAATTCCGCCCTCGCCGACTCCGCCACAGCCGCCTACTCCACCGCCACTACAGTTGTCAACGACTCCGCCGCCGCCACTCCCGTCGTCGCCGGCTCCGCGACCGCCGTCCGTGCTGCCACCGCCCTTGCCGTCATCTTCGGCGCCAAGCATTGTCAGCACAGATATCGATCCGGTAAGTTAAGCACCTAGCTTAATTAGTCCATGAAAACTATCGATATATATGTGTGCGCTGTATTGCGATTTGGGTTACTTAGCTAGGTAATGTTAATGCATGGTACTGTAGATTAATGCAAGGCACTGTACGTTAATTAATTATTAATTGAAGCACCTAGCTAGCCATCCACTATTATATTATAAAATTATTACTTATAATATATCAATTGCATTAATATATACTCCTACACTAGCTTGTGCGCAGTTCTCAGGCTTGCTTCTTTACTTATATGAGGAACTCATCTCTCGCACTCGCAAAACTGAGGGACTCATTAACGCATGATTAATTAAATATTACTCCCTCCTTCCCAAATTGATAATCATGTAATAGAATCCAAAATTTCTCAAATTGATCATCATATTACTGCATGGACACAGATTTCATCTAAATACAATTAATGCAGTATGAGAGAATGTGTGCATGCTATGATGTAATTGGCATAGGGTTTTAATCGATGCATGCATTGTGGGAGAATACGTGCATGGTGTCTTGATTGATGTGATTTAAATTGTCCTTGGTCTTGGTACATAAACTTATATGATGATCAATTTGGGAAGGAGGGAGTAGTTTTTAATTAGAACAAATAGATTTTTATGGTTTTATACAATAACTCTAACAACATAACTCAGCATAAAATCAACCTGGCCATCAGCTCATTTTACGAATATACAATACTCTGTGTGGCATGATTCACCAAGAAAAAAAATAATTGATAGCTATGATCGAGCAAAATAAAGCATTGTACCAACTAATGCTACACTAATATTGACCTCCCTGCCGACGTGCTTTTTTCCAGTGTTATATATAATCTCCATGTGCAATATAGATATCCTTGCTTAATCTCATGTGGTACTCAGGTCAATCAAGACGCCATTCGTGCTGATATGATTACAACCTGACCCTCGAATAAAGCAAAAAATTCGGAATCCGAGGAGCATGGAAATTTTCAGTTTGAAATAAGTAGCACAGCCTGAAATTTCTTTAACTGGGAAGACCATTTGTACAGGTTTGGTTTCAATCGAAGCTACAGGTTTAATTTGGAAGATCATGCAGCCATGATGCTACAAATATTAATCTTGATGGTTTAAATTAACCTATTTCATCTATACAACTTGATTCAGCTTAATTTAGTTCCTACATTAGTGCACAGTTATTCTTCATTTATTTGTGCGTACAGGATCTATGGAAGAGGGCCATTAGGTACTAAGAGACCTATTGTGCCATTATATTCATGAATTTTTTGGCTGTTTGTAACCTGTGAAAACTTATAAGGATGTGATGAAATTATTGTTCGTGCCATAATAAGGTTTTCATCATAATAAATTTAATTATTCAACATCATTTTACTGTGATTTTAAATTGGTGTATATTTTTTACCCGTTGCAACGCACGGGCACCTACCTAGTAAGGAATAAAAACAACATGGAATAGGGGAGCTGAACAATTACTTCATCAGATATTTATTGTTGTGGCATGATTAATTGTGAAATGCACTATTTGAATGAGAAATCCCCATCCATATACATCAGGAAGCTAAACATCATTGAAAGACTATGACCGTGGATATACTATAAAAATTAAACAGAGGTCTATTTGTCAAAATTGAATGACAATTCCAAAGAGGAAATTATATCATTGACTATCAGAATAATATGACATGGCTAACTACATATTTGTAGTTTCCAAGGCCTCATGCTACTCACAATATTTAGCGTGCACTACTGTCACAAATGTAACAAAAAACAATTGAATAGGCACTATCAGGCCAATTAAAATATGCCAATATGTGGCTATAGAATGATATATTACTGTATGAAACTATGAATAGCAATAAGACAGACTCACCTAGAGGATTCACCCAATAAATTTGTAGGTTCAAATCTTCCATCTTGTGTGAATAATCCATGTGCCTTTTGGTTTGTTGAATGTCCAAATGCATTAGTGTCATCAATACTGCGTAGTTTTGCTTCCAGAAGGTTGAGAGATGAGTCTAGTTTCACTATTTTCCTAGAAATGGATAGTCTATTAGTCCATAGTTTCATCAGATAGGTACAAGATGTAATTCAGAGAAGTATTTATGCTGACCTACTTTTAGTAATAAGCAAGCAAAAGCTTAGTCAAGCATTAGATTTTCTACAGCAATGGGAAAGCCATTAACTTCTCTCAAAAACAGCATGATTCATCTTTTATATTCCCTCCGTACTCGTAAAGGAAGTCGTTTAGGACAATGTTTAAGTCAAACCTTGGGAATATAAATCATGAATAACTCTCAAGTTGTTGAGTTTGAAAATGTAAAAATTATATGAATAGATTTGTCTTGAAAATACTTTCATAAAAGTATACATATATCACTTTTCAATAAATATTTTTATAGAAACAAGAAGTCAAAGTTGTGTTTTGGAGACCGTGTCGCTGTCCAAAACGACTTCCTTTATGAGTACGGAGGGAGTATATGCTAAATCTGTGCTAATTGCCAAATCGCCAACAATAGCTTCTCATATCCTTCTCTCATTGATTTGCAAAAAGAAAGACAGAAGTACAAATTTCAAAGTAATCAATACAAAAAATAACAACTTCTACAACACAATTTTCTCTAGTGTCGTACACCAATTCATAAGTTTAGAGGCATAGGTTGTGAAAGCACGTTCCTCGCACTTAGCAAACAATGACAAGAGATATCCTTAATGCTCAGCATGAATTGACTTGTAAAAAATCTTAAAGAAGATTTATGCAATCCAGTTAAGCATGTCATTCTCCAATACAACACTTATTCCACAAACACGAGGAAATCCTGAACAGGCTATTATCAAATTTTACTCCAATAGAGAACTAAATGGATTCATAAGAAATTAATAGTGCAAAAATGTGCAAGCCTCCTACAAAGGTATTTTCCAATTCACACTTTTTTGTGATGGTACTAGCCCTCCTAGAAAAAAATAGATAGGTACCATCACAAAAAAGTGCAAGTTGAAAAATACTATTGTACTTTTTTGCGATGCTACCAAGTAAAAATGCCCTTCTGAAAAATACAAGGATTGAACGTTGTATCCCTTTTAGAGTCTTGCAGGTCAATAATTTTGTAAAAACCAACTCGTTCCCATAATTCCGGTGAGTTGTGAGTTCCACACGATATTGCATCAAAATAGCTTAAACATTTTCCAAGATACTATTCAGAAACAACACATGATTCCGGTAAGAAATAATTTCCCATAATGCTATGAGATTGTGATCCTGAATCATTGAACTCTAGAGGCAATGTCCGCTTCCCTGTATTGTACACATATACTGACTTCTTTTCATGTGCCGACGTATATAATTACCCTGGGTAATTAACTATTTGCCACTCTTACGAGTGGTGATAAAGGATTTACCACTAGACCCACATGTCATAGATATATGAGGGTCCACATGTCATAGACAACGAGTAGCAAATCCTTAATTAGCACATCTTAAAAGTGGTAAAAAGTTAAATGTCCCTAGTTACCCATATCTTAGCACAACTGTAACACACAAGCAGCTATAGCGATATCTAGGAATACACAAAAGATTTGGGATTTTTTATTTTTTATTTTACCTGTGGAGGAGGGAAAGCTTGTCATTGCATTGCGCCGCGAACGAGTTGAGGAACTCCACCGTGTTCGCTATGAACATGTTCACCTGCAATGCGGAGAGAGAGACACACACACACACGCAGTCAGAGACGCCAAAAGACCAAAATCGTTTGCTCACCCCGAAGGTGGAGCACCACCAGATGAGATCGACCGTGGAGATCGGAGAGGGGGTGAGGGGGCGAGTGAAGGCGGGGCGGACCAGGTAGATGGTCCTCTGGTCGGAGACGGCGATGGCCCTCGCGCTCTCCTCCTCCTCCTCCTCCTCCTCGAACCCCTCGTCCCTCGGCGCCGGTGCGGAGGGAGGATGCGGCGGCGGCGAGCGCATGGGGCTCCTCGCCGCGGCCGACTTCAGGTGGCGCAGCATGGCGGCTTCCGGATCGAGCCGAGCCTTGGAAGCTGGAACTTCACCTTGCGCGGCAGACAAAAATCAAGAACACGGCGGCGGCGGCGGCGGCGGCGTAGAATCGCCGACGAGCGAGCAGAGCAAATCTCGTACTGTGTCCGTGTGGGATCTAACCTAAGAGCCCGTTACGAACTGCCAAAAAGGCCCATCATGGCCCATGGGCCGATGGTCACCTTGCTTTAGGCTGTGTTTAGATCAGGGGTGAAAAATTTTGGCACGTTAAATCGGATATACGGACACATATTTAAAGTATTAAACGTAGTCTAATAACAAAACAAATTACAGAATCCGTCAGTAAACCGCGAGATGAATTTATTAAGCCTAATTAATCCGTCATTAGTAAATGTTTACTGTAGCATCACATTGTCAAATCATTGAGCAATTAGGCTTAAAAGATTTGTCTCGCATATTAGTCGCAATATATGTAATTAGTTATTTTTTAGCATATATTTAATATAGATATTCAAATGTTCGATGTGACGGGTGAAAAATTTTTGGGTGGGATCTAAACAAGGCCTTACTCATTTTCTGCAGAGTAATCGATGCATGGGGTCCCATAGATATGATGATCCATCATGGCATCATTTCCTCTCATGGGAGATGAGAGGACCTCCACCTCTAACTTTTTAGGTCTGTTTTCGAATGCCGAAATCCAAACCGCTGGACAGAAGGAAAAGGGGTTGTTATACTATGGGATTTTGTTGAATGATAATGGTACATATAAGGTATTAGGTGATACTTGACGGGAACAGATGAAACAACATATATATCGACCGATATCTGTTGGTATCAAGTCTCGCACCATCTAGTATCAAATCTGATATAAGATCGATTCTTAAATATCACGCAGTACTATACCTCTACTTCTCTCTTTCTCCACTTCAATTCACCACCAAACAATTCATCCCCAAATTTATCCCCTTCCCCCTCCTCCTCTAAGAAAGTGAAGAACAAGAAATAAAGAGAAAAATAGTTTGTGGTTAGATCTATGAACCTGTGGATGAAAGATAACACCTCCATGCCTTCACCGACCTCGTAGACTTACTTCCATGTTGTCACTGCTGCAAGTGGTGCTGACCAGCAGTAACGCCTCCTCTCCCTCATCGTTGGCATCGAGGCAGCACTGAATGAGGTTGTGGAGGCCACAAGTAGTGCCGACTGCCGACCAACAGTAACGCCTCCTTTCCCTTATCGTCGGCATTGAGGCGGCGCCGAACGAGGTTTGTGGAGGCCGTAAGTGGTGCCAACTAGTAGTAACGCCTCCTCTTCCTCATCGTCAATGTCGAGGTAGTGCCGAACGAGGCCGTGGAGGAAAGGGAAGGGAAAAGGGCGAGGTTGTGGAGTAAGGGGAAGGGAGGGAGCACACAACGGCAGCGGCGCCACCCACTCTTCATCTCACCTCCTTCCTCAAACCATGTGAGTTTCTCTTTTTACGAAAGAATGGTATCATGCGGGGTGTGGGGTAAGCATTCCCATTCCGAGCTAGGTGGATAGCATTTTCGTTATTGTTTGGATGCTTAGTAGAAGAGGACTTTTAGATATAGGATTTCAGGAGAGAGATAGAAACCAGAAAAGTTTCCCATAAGGTATAGGCCTCTTTTGGATAGAAGGATTTTAACTTTAAATGCCATATGGATTTTGTTTCATATGTCTCATTCCAAATGAAAATAAGAATGAGCTCATAGCTCATGTTTTGTTTTTCTTTGAGAAGTCCCATGCACTCTTTTCCTTTCTCTCTCTTACCCAAACAAACTTCTTTCAAGATTCCATGTTGACACTAGTTATAGTAGTCTTGTGTGTTTGGCATCCAATTTGACAAGAGCATGATATTCATCAATTCTTAGGTTCCAAAAGAAGCCCTCAACCTCATCTTAATTAAATATCCTTCCAAAATATCATGAATTAATTCATTCCAAAGTAATATTATAGGAATTACAAATGCCCATTCCTTTGTTGTAAAAGAGCACCTAGAAAACTTTTCTATGGGATTTCAATCCTTCAAAAGCTATTTTTCTTTTGTTCCAAAGGAACCCTTAGACTAAGGCCCTGTTTGTTTCAGCTTAAGATTACTGTAATCTAGATTATTAAACCAGATTACTCTAAGCTGGATTATAATAAGTTGACATAGAATAAGCTGCGAGCTGTTTGTTTCTCTATATTATTGGAGGCATCTAAGGATAGTGGGTCTTTAGCCACCCAATAATCTGAAAAAAGCTCCTCCAGAGGAGATTATTAGATTATAGTAATCTAGCTTATAGATCATAATAATCTACTTGTTTGTTTCAGCTTACTCATAATAATCCAGATTATAATAATAGTAAGCTGAATCAAACAGGGCCTAAGTTCGTATATACCTTTAGGAGTTAGCTACTCCCTCTTTTTCTTAGCATACATTTTTTGAACTGCTAAATGATGAACTTTTGGCAAAAATCTTCGATATAGAAGTTTATTTAAAAATCAAATATTTTTTAAGTTTATAATAGCTGACACTTAATTAATCATGCATTAATGACCCATCTCAATTTGCGTGCCGCTAAAAAGATGAGCTGGAACCCACGTTAGTAAAGATTGATACCTATGCTCTACACTAAAAGTTGGGTCTACTAAGGCTTAGGCCAGTCCCAACCCAAAACACTAGATATAATTTTCATAAACTCCACATCATCAAGAAATTAGTACTAGACACCACTCTTTCAATTCAAACACCACTTTTCCATATTTAAATTTAATGTTACTTATCTCACATGATGTCTTGAATGTTGTGTAGAAACCATGTCTCATGCAAGACCTGGTTTCCTTCTTTTTCTCATTTATTCACTTGCTACATCATTTTTTTTAATCCTAGGTGGCAACTTATTTAATGCTATGGACACTGTCGGTGATATGGGACCGGGAGTATCATGACCAGAGGCTTGAGGCAGACACAATCGCCCACGTAGCCTGGCACCTTCGGGGACGTCGGGCCCGAGGGTGAGGTGTCCGCCCTCCTCCTGATTTCCCCCGAGGGGGGGGGGGGTCGGGTTGCGCTTGCCCCGGCCCCGAGGGCCGAGGCACCCCGACCCCTTAAGGAAATCTGCGCCATATATATATAGGATAAGTGAGCACAGCTGTGCTCACCTAACAGCATTTATTGCAGTCTGGTCAAGCGCGTCACGCTGCATGCAGCGCAGTACAGCGCGTCCCTTTATCCGGTCTGTGATCAGTCACAGACCGGTCAGATCACGGGTTAGGTGGCAACTGGCGGTCTGGCGCACGCCTTGCCCCGTCCCGTCAAGACGAAAGCCTCTATGCACTCGTCTCAAGCCGGAGTTAAGCGTGTTATCTCTTAGAGATGACACGTTAGCCCCGGTCGATATATGCCAGGCTTCATCCTAACCATTACAGGCAAGATGTTGTGTGAAGAAGGGCAAACATGCACGTTGCCAAGATTACACGCGGTGGACAAGAATGACCGATCTGTGACCGGTCTGACACTAATCATATCGTCAGCGCACAGCCGTGTTCCCACGACGCGCTCACCCCCGGCGGAAGTGGAGGTAGGTATGGGCAGTCCCATCGGAGTGTCATTCGAACAGCAACCGTGCTGATCTCCGCCCATTCTAGAGAAAAAGAACAGTCCAGTTTGGAAAGAGAAGGGTGCATGTGGTATCCCCTTGAAGTATAAAAGGAGGACCTTGCCCATGGGGTAAAGGGGATTGATTCTTTTCAAGATTAGGAACTTAGAACGGGGGAGAAGAGAGCTCACACTTGTAGCTCATTCATACATAGATCCACCAAAACACAGGAGTAGGGTATTACGCTTCTGAGCGGCCCGAACCTGTATAGATCGTCGGTGTCTCGTGTTTTCTGGCTGGCAGACAATCTTTCCATATACAGAGAGAGAGAGAGAGCTTGAGATTTCACCCTAAGCCCCCGGCCGGACTGGCAAAGGGGGGCCTGCGCGGTCTCCCGGTGAGGAGCCACGAGCTCCGTCATCTGGCGCGCCAGGTAGGGGGCTCAGCGTGTGCTTTCTGAGCTCTCAGACTCTTCCGTGTGCCCCAAGTTTTTCTTGTTCAGCCTAATGGCCGAGCAAGGAAAAACGCACGACCTCTCGCCGAGTGTGAGCGGCGACGACGGGGAGCCGAATCCACGCCGTCGAGCTCGTACTCCTCCACCTCCTCCGCGCCAAAACCCTAAGCAAGGGGAGGCGCTTGAGAGGGTCGACAAATCCGCGGCGTCACCAGCCGCAGGTGATGCAGGGGAACAGCGAGATGGGGAGCGTCGCCTCCTCGTCTACGGCGACGGCAGCACACCTCAGGGTGCGCTTCAGGCTGCTGGCGCGCTCCTACGACACCCGCCTGTCGTCCATGACCCGGAGTCTCCAGCCCAACGATGGCTGGAAGACGTGGCCAACTTGGTCATGACGGCACAGCAGCGCCTGGGTGCTGGTGGACGGTCCGCCACCCCCACCAAGACCTCCGGCGCCGCTACCACCGGCTCCGTGTCATCAAGGCGGAGGGCGCGGCGAGCGGCGGCGGCTGCACGTCATTCGGCTGCCACTCCCTCGTCTACACCGTCGACTCGGGAGGATCAGCATGGGGAGCCGGATGCCCGCCTCAACATCGGGCGCCGGCGTAATAGCCGGCGTACTCCCCGTGCAACGGAGGGAGCCTCCTCGTCCAGAGTGTCACCTCGACATGGACGTGAAGATCAGCCCTCCGTGCCCCCGGCCGGTGGTGTTGGCTGTAGAGCCTTTGTGGCGAGTCTTCGGAATGTCCGTTGGCCCCCAAGGTTCCGGCCCACCATCACCGAGAAGTACGATGGGAGCGTCAACCCCACCGAGTTCCTCCAGGTCTATACGACCGGGATTGAGGCCGCTGGGGGTGACGACAGGGTCATGGCGAACTTCTTTCCCATGGCCCTAAAAGGACAGGCGCGGGGTTGGCTAATGAACCTGCCACCCGCGTCGGTCCACTCTTGGGAAGATTTGTGCCAACAGTTCACCATGAACTTCCAAGGCACATATCCGCGCCCAGGCGAAGAAGCGGACTTGCATGCAGTACAGCGAGGCGATGATGAGTCGCTTCGCTCGTACATTCAGCGGTTTTGCCAAGTCCGCAACACTATACCATGCATCCCTGCACACGCGGTGATCTACGCGTTC